TGTGGGTAGATGTTTCTGTGTATTGGCGTGTGCAGCAATCCCGATATCCTAGTCGCCAGTTTGGTGTGATATAGTAGCCGCTGCTATTGTTTGTTTACCTCCCACAGCCACTTGAAGTTCATTAGCAATGCCTTTGCCTCAGGAGGATCATCCACACACACACACACACACACACACACACACACACACACACACACACACAGACTTGCTCTCCCTCTGTCTCTCCCACGGTCTGGTTTTCTCGCACACACATCATCACAACTGCAAGATGAACTGACATAAAGTGACCAACCAACCACTGGGAAATGTCAGAGTAGTTGTGCGATAACAGATCGGTAACTCGCTGCAGTGCTGTCATCCTCCACCTAGCTACTGCATTTGTATGTATTTGTGTATGTGTTTGCATGATTATCCCTTGTCCCTGCACTAGAAAAATCAATCATGGACGTTCTTTTGTTAACAAATAACAATTAAGCCCTTGATCTATTGTGTGGGAAATAAATGGTATCTACTAATTACAGTAGCAGCAGGCAATAATATAGCATGTGACTGGACTGGGGAATTAGCAAAATGCATCAAATTACCACATTTTGTTTATGTTTTTCCAAGCTAAGTATCAAACTATACATTTAATAGAATTACATACTGACAAATCAAAGCAGTTTTTTCCTTTCTGTTCCCTTGAACAAAATCAAGTTTATAAGGTTTCAAGAATTGAGAACTAATACGATATTTATTCAAATACATAAAAAAAAAAATCCTTCTAAATTCTAAATCACCTTGATTTAATGTTGTTAAATTAATTTGCACTTTGTACACTCCCTAGGTCCGCATTGGTCCGGCAGTTTTCTTGTTCTTTTTGTTATAAAAAATACAAACAAGCAAGATTGTCTTTTTCCTCCTTTACCAGATTGATATTGTGCGGAGCAAGACTTTCTCTGGCCTTGCTGATAGAGCAGATAAATAAATAAACTAGATATCGTCTTGTGATGGAATCACAGCAGCCCCAACGCCAAATTGGTCTTCCTAGCATCTTACTTCCTGCGCCTTTATCTCTGACCACACCCATCATTGAACTCTGGCCTACATAGTGATCTGATTTAGGCACCTGAAGTTTTGTGACTGCATCTTGCCCAGTTGTGTCCACAGACAGACGGACATCCAAACACCTAGCACGGTATTCAAAACCTCTCTGTGGTAGTTCCCACAGTAAGTGTCTCCAGGAGCTAATTGTGCCATGATGACACACACAGACCAACAAGGTGAAAACATGACTAGCTGTTGGGTGGTAATTATCAGACACTGAACACTTATTGTCACTTTAATTAACTAACTAATTGAGATAAGATAGGACAAAACAGGTTTAAGGTCCCATCATCCAGCCCTGTCAGTTGAACCTAAAATGTAACCTCTTTTTTTTCCCCCTACTCCAACCATGAGTTACATTATTGGTGCATATTGAGTGAACACAAGTGGAAAGATACCAGACAATATTCAGCCCACAACAAATCATTTCAGAGTTGTCTGTTTGTTACATAACTGCATGAATCATGGGGAGATTTTTTTCCTTTTTTCTTTTTTTTAAAGAAAAAGATGATTTGGATCCAGACTATGCAGACAACTTCACCCAGCAGGGTTTATACACAGAGAATGATGTTGCATTATAAGCAGTGATAAGCAGCCTCTCTTTCTCTCTCCCTCTCTCTCCCTCTCTCTCTCTCTCGACATCCCATAATGATACTCAGACAGACTCCGGCATACACTCACTCGGTCCCGATTGGTAGAACTGTTGCCAGGGAGCGTTGCCGTCTCAACGTGGATAGAATCTGTTGTCTGGTACACTTTAGACATGAGAACAACTGCAGGATCTGAATATTTATAACGAGGGGACTGTTCATATTGAGATTGTATAGACGCAACATAAGCAAGAGAGGAAAGAGCTGCTCCTACTCGGCTCACTTCTTAATTTTCTTTTATGCGTGAATTGCTGTACTTTAATGAGATACTTATGATTGACCTTATATGGGTTTGTCTCTTTAATGTATGTTTGACGTAGTGAGGTTTTTATTATCTGCATTTAGAATAAAAGTTAACTTAACTTCGAGATTGAACTCTGTAAAGTGCTAAATGGCATTTACGTGAATCATAATTGTGTATGACTTTTATAGTCTTATCTTGGAGTGTTACCCTATTGTGTGTGTGTGTGTGTGTGTGTGTGTGTGTGTGTGTGTGTGTGTGTGTGTGTGTGTGTGTGTGTGTGTGTGTGTGTGTGTGTGTGTGTGGTGTGTGTGTGTGTGTGTGTGTTGTGTGTGTGTGTGTGTGTGTGTGTGTGTGTGTGTGTGTGTGTGTGTGTGTGTGTGTGTGTGTGTGTGTGTGTGTGTGTGTGTGTGTGTGTGTGTGTGTGTGTGTGTGTGTGTGTGTGTGTGTGTGTGTCAGCCATCTGGTCAATCGTTTTATTTCTTCATATTATTCAAATATGCCTGGACCTGCTGCTACAGTTAATAACACTGTGCGTAGGTATGAATCCTTTATTAAAATGGATGGAACACATTCCAACAAAGCAGACAACAGCAATCAGAACTGCATTCAGATCTCTTATCTCCACTCACAAGCTAATCCAACACACACACACACGCACACACACACACACACATGCCTGTATTATAGTGCCAAAAGTCACAGCCGGATTTATAACAATGATTATAAAAACACGCCTTGGTATGCGAGAAACTTTGACATGGTAATGCAAACACTGAAGGAAATGAGGACACAGGTAGCAGAGAGTCACACACACACACACACACACACACACACACACACATATAATCACTCGTTAGACAAACAAGTTCGGGGACTTCATGCCTTTATAATTTTTCATCAGGGTTGTGCAAAGTCTATATTTAATGCATGCAGGAGGAGTTTTTGATTTCCGTGTGTGTGTGTGTACAGTACATGGGCTTTTATGCCTGTGTGCCTAGCCGCATAATATACATGCATATTTGTTTCAAATTCATTCGTGCATACATTTACATGAACATTCGGCGGTGAGTCTCTGTATATGTGCAGTGTGGCACTCCGCCGTCCTGTCTGCCTGACTCAACATATTCTTCGTTCACTCTCCTTTGCTCTCCCCCTCCCTCTTGCTTTTTACCCCCCCCCCCCTCTCCTCTCCTCTCCTCTCCCTCTCCCTCTCTGCCCGGCTGGCACGTACATGCATGTCTGTAGACTCTGTACTGTGCTTGCTGCCGTGGCACGCGCCAACCTCACTGCAATGCAGCCCTGTGTGCATTAATTGGCAGAGAGACAGTGGGTATGTGGTATGCAGGGCGGGAAGGATAGAGAACAGGGATGGGGAGGGGGAGGAGAACCGAGGGGCGATGTAAGGACACGGTAGTGACAGCGACTGATGGATGGACCGATGGACAAGCAGTGTGACAGAAGGACAGACAGACAAATAAAGCAAATGTTTATTGCTGAGTGTGCACAGGGAGATTACCTGACTGTGTGTGTATGTCTGTTTGCATTAGTGTGTGTGCCGATTTGTGTCTCGTGTGTCTGACTGTGCTTTTTGTGTGTGCTCACTCATGTGTGCCTATATGTGCCATGCAGATATCACACTGCTGGGGCAGAGCTCTCTAAAGCAAAGTCTGACTCACTGTATTCATCGCTTTGTGATATCCTCCCTTTTATATTTCCGCGGTGACTGAAGAGTAAAAGTTTGCTCAGTTTAGCACAACTTTCTCCACTTGAGGTTTCTTTGGCAAAATATGAAACACAATGTGTCTGGAAATGTTCCGGGGATATGCTCAAATATGAAAATTCTTTGCATCAGCTTTTTATAACAGATTGTTGTAGGGTGAAATGATTTTAAAAACAGGAATGCTAACTGTCTTCATGTCTCCTCGACCAAAATGTGGCACAGAGGTCAGACGGCTTCCTTCATTGTGTTTTCGCCCTGTAAGAATTACACAACATACTGTACAAATGCACTTGCTCATCTGTCACAGCAATTTTGCATTCTTATCCTCCCACGCATATCTCTCTGGAACGTATCCTTTTCTCTTAGCTGTTGTCCTTTATTCTTTCCTTCCCTGACACCGGCTGCGACATCTGGCTCCTGTCCTGCCTTATTCTCATCAAGCTACATTTAGGGAGCTCCTCCATGTGCCGGTCAAAAGATTGTAACAAAAAGCCAACACAGAAATGTCACCTGAATAAGCTGAGCCAGCAAACTGGGGGCGTTAATTAATCATTGAATTTACAACTTCATGTACAAATACAAAATAATCTTGCGTGAAGACAGAACTTCTCTCTGCCTTGTGTGTAGGTGTTTGGCAGAGAGATCCTCGCATGATTCAGAGGAAAATACACAACACTTGCTCAAAAGTATTTTTTTTTTCTAAAACTATTGTCCTCCGAATATTATAAGATAATGGGAGACACCTTAAAATGACAGATTTTTGATGAACCTTTTTAATTGTACAATTTGAATGATTAGAGGAATACTGCATCGCATATATTAAAGCTTCACTAAGAAGTGTTGCTTTACCAAGATGTGACGCATTGTCTCCTGACTTGCGTCAAACAGGGAATTCAGAAGTTTCACGATTCGATGCTTAGTTAAATAACGGTGGCTATGACCTCTGTCAGCTATTCTCATTTCTCTTTTGCCTGTGTCACCCCCGCCCTCTTTCTGTTAGACCGTATAGGCATCCGTGTCCAGGGGCAAGTGGCAGAAGTTGCTTCAACCTAATTGTCTTTCTCTACTCGTACTGTCCTCAAATGACTTTCTCTGTCTCAACTCTCCCCTCCCTCCCTCCCTCCCCTGCTTCTCTCTAGCTCTGCCCAGTCTCTGTCTCCGTCTGTAACTGTAGCCTGTGTTTTTCTCTCCCTCCCACTCCCTGCGACGTATAGATACTGCATTGATCAGACACACGCGCGCAGACACATGCGCACACACGCACACACTGAGCCTCCCACTCCTTTCATCATTGATTCGCTCTGCTCTCTTTTCTCTCTCTCTCTCTCTCTCTCTCTCTCCATTCTCTTTCTCCCCCACTCTCTCTCCCTCTCTCTCTCTCCTTACAGCGGCACTTGTTGAATTCAACCCTTGGAGAATAGAGAGAGGGGGGAGAAACGGAGAGAGATAATGACAGGGAGGCAGAGGGAGGCTTTGAGGCAGCGCTAGAACAGACAGTGAGCAGAGAGAGAATGGGGCTTTGGAGGATATAGAGATAGAGAAGATAGGCAGACAGAGGAAAAAGTCAGTCAGACAGCAGACAGAGAATCATCTTTGAGACAGTGGGAAGGACACTTTAAGTGAAAAAGAGAGTCGGCCAGACGGAGTACACCAGAGTGCTCTCCTTCCATCTCTAACTACTCCTCTTCTGTCCTGGTCCGGACTGCTGATGGGGTGTTAGTGTGTGTCAAGTCTACATGGTGTGTTTTAACCAGAGGACTGGCTTACACAGGTCAGAAGTGTCTGGGATAACAGTGGGCGCTTTTTTCTGCATTTTGCACGTGTGAGCGTCTTTTAGTGAAGGAACGTCGTGTGCTGGTTTCTCCAGGTGAGTGCTTGCGTGTCAGAGTACACAGTTATTTCCCTATGCAGCCTGTACTGTGTGTGTGTATGTATGTATGTATGTATGTGTGTGTGTGTGTGTGTGTTTAGGCATGCACACTTTTATGTAAGTAAGCCAGAGAGCGTGCTTGTCTGTATGGAGTGCATGAAGTGTGAGAGAGAGAGTGAGTGTGTGTGTGAGAGAGGCGGTGACATTTTTTTTTCTTCAGTTTGTATTCCTGGAAACTGTTCTGCAGCATTGCTTAATAATGAAACCAGAGCGTATATGCGTATGCGTGTGTGTGTGTGTGTGTGTGTGTGGAGAAAATAAAACAATGACAGACACAAGGTTCAGGAAAGGGAAGGAAGGTGCAAATATGCCTGAAGTATGTTATTGAGAAGGATCAAACTAAGTGTAGATTGTGTGCGTGATGTCAGTTGTGTTGTTTTGTTTTCTAGCCAGAGTTTACAAAGAGATCAAATGCTGACAGTGGTATAAACTGTCAGCAAAATTGGGGTAGTATGTCTAAACTGTGGCATTTTTCATGACAAAACAAAGTCGGATACAGTTTAGTTTAATCTCAGATTTGCAGGTCATCCAAGTCCATGGTTGAAGCATTAAGTGCAAATCATGGAGCGAGTCCAAGGTTCTTTTAGCCATGTGAAACAACTTAGCCTTAAGGTATTTCACAACGTCCTCATGTACAGTAGGCACGGCATTGTATTGTTGTTTTTCTTTCATGTGGACTGACTTGACTCCATTCTCTCTCCTGCTCTTCTCTCTCACCCACTATCCCAGCATATCTCTCTTTCACACACCTCTCACTTCTCCCTCAACTGCATTCATTTTCTCACTTCATCTCAACTCTATTTCATTCTTGCTCTTTCTTTCCTTTTTAAGATTCTCTCTGCCTCCCTCTGGCATGTCTTTTCATCTTTCACGCATTTTGTTATCACTCCTTCTTTCGATGCCTTTTTTAATAACTTATTTTTGTTCTCTTTTCTTCTTATTTTAATAGATGCGTCTCTCAGTGGCGGAGTCTGCAGTGAATATCTGAAACCCCAACTTCCTCTTCTTCTGCGGCCAACATGTCCCAGCTGCTCCATGTGGAGATCCCGAACTTTGGAGCCACGGTTCTGGGCTCCCTCAACGAGCAGCGCCTGCTGGGACACTACTGCGATGTGTCCATCCTGGTCAAAGGTTGGTTAGTTTTGAAATCTAGAAATTATATTTATGTTACAGAACTTTGAAATTATACTAGAATCTTGTATCTCACCTTTTTTATTCTGTTCTCTGTTATTCCCATCAACCAGGTCAGGCTTTCAAAGCCCACCGGGCTGTTTTGGCTGCCAGCAGCCTCTACTTCCGTGACCTCTTCAGCAGCTCAACCAAGAGCCAATTTGAGTTGCCCTCCTCAGTCACACCTGCTTGCTTTGAGCAGATCCTCACTTTCTGCTATACAGGGAAGCTAACAATGGCAGCTAGTGAACAGCTGGTGGTTATGTACACAGCTGGCTACCTCCAAATTCAGCATATAGTTGAAAGAGGCATGGACCTAATGTTTAAGGCAAACTCACCTCACTGTGACTCACAGACAGCGGGGTCTTTAGAGGAGACAGGATCCGAGCCGCAGAGTCCTTGTAATAATGGAAACGGCTTAGCGGTGGCTGCCCTTTTGGGAGCCCCGGGCTGGTCTCCATCCCTACTCATGCCCCAGCGTAAGATTAAACAAGAAGGGGGGGACCCAACGCCCCTGACAATACCTATGACGCAAAGCAAGATCTCCTCTTCGGAGTTGGGGAGTCGGCTGGCGAGGGCCAGTTCCCTGTTCTACACGACGGCTGGTGGGACCGCCATCCCCGGTATGCCTTCGTACCACATTCAAGGGGCTGGGGCTGGTGGGGGTGGAGGAGGAGTTGAAAGGTCAAGTCCTGGATCATCCAGCCTGCCCACCACTGACAGTCCTACATCCTACCAGAACGAGGACGAGGAGTTTGAAGAAGAGCCATATGATGGGATCACTGAGGATGCCTACAGCCATCTCTATGGACGTTCAGCTAACCCCTATGGGAGTGAGTATTATGTCAAATTAATGTTTTTTTAAATCTTTGTGAAGTGTTACAGTGCTTTTGTGTTTTTGGTTGAGAGCACTTATCACTGACGCTAGCTCTGGAATATTTTTCATCTTTAAAAACCTCTGCAAATACAGTTTGTTCTCAGTTATAGCCCAAAATTAATTTTCCATTTCCATTTTATTCCACATTGATACGTATTTAATTCCTAACTGAAATTATCAAAATAGCTAATGCTAATGCCAACAAGAACATTTCAATGTCAACCATCCATCAATATGCTCTTTTCTTGCTATGTAGAATCTAAGTAAGTGAATTACTTTCTCAATTGCCCTTGGCTCAGATAGGGAAATTCATCTGATATCTGACTGATCTAAAAGTAAAACTCTGCATGACTTGCAGAAATACAGTACATACAATGAATGTAGGGTTTATTTAACACGGTTGCTCCTTGTCTAGACTTCAGTATTGTGCGAATAAAAGTGATGTACATTTATTTCATCCCAGCTACATTATTTACAGTAATCTTTCATAAATCATGTATCCTGAGCATCTAGGAAAAAGCAGGATGTTGTGCCTCCAGTGTGTGTGTGGGTTCTCTCAGCATAAAGATAGCTTTATGGAGTTATGATTGGAGTGCATCGTGACCAACAACACACTCGGTATCACAGCTCCAACAGCTGGTACTTTACTGCTTTCTGTTATAGTCTTTATACTGGTGCAGGTTCACCAACACCTGTGAATATGTATATGCTTTATTTACTTGTGTTTGAATTCACACAGGGACAGGGACTCTCAAACTCACATGTGTGCACACAAACAACACACACACACCTTCCATCATTGTTAGCTTCCTGCAGCTCAAAGGCATCGCACAGGTTTGTCAAATACTAGAGTTTCAGATATTTATGAAACCCACTCTATCTGCAATCAGTCAGAGCACCCCGGGGTGACATTGTGGGATATTTGAGAGCATTGCCCATCTTTCTGTGTGTGTGCGCGCATGTGTGTAGGTAGTTAGAAGTGTGCATTAATCCACACTTTTCTGTATTCACTTTGTGAATGTGTGGCAATTAATTGATTACTTCTCCTGTTCTGTGTGTGTGTGTCTGTGCGTGTCTATGTGCACGGAAGGTGTGCATACACACTCACAAGTCATCTCAGAGGTTAGGGGAGGCAGTTTTGTAAGAAAGAACCTAACACCCAGCTCCAGATCTGTCCCTCTCCCAAACTCAAGTTGCTGATGCAGCATCATGACTGGGATACATCTGCAATGCTCCAAAACATTTATAAAACACAACAAGCTGATGAGTTTACATAAACCTGCTCTGTGAATTAAATCGTGTACCCTTTATTTAAATAGAGGGCACAGAGGGAATGGATGGAAGTTGTTTTTCTTTTGTGGTTTATACACTGGTCTGATCTTTGTATGGATGCATACCAAGTGATCTGTCTCTGATTTGCTGTGTAAGAAAAGCTTTCTGAACCCTTTCTGTTTCCTTTTACTTTCATCAGTCCAGGAGAAGCCAGAGATGGCTTCGATGCCCTTGGCCTTGGAGAGCCGCAACTGCGTGCTGATCCGCAGGGACCTGGTGGCGCTGCCTGCTAGCCTCATCAGTCAGATAGGCTACCGCTGCCACCCTAAGCTCTACACTGAGGGGGACCCCGGGGAGAAGCTGGAACTGGTAGCTGGTAGGCACGCACACACAAATAGGAATTCACATGCATGCATTTATTTCACTTTCATCACATGTACACATGCAGAGAATAACGTGCCATTAGTCAATTGGTTAGTATTCATACTTTCACCCTTTACCACATTTAGATCATCAATTCTTCGATAGTCAGTTAAATTAATACGATGGGATTCATTTAAACTATTAAATATAGAACTTAAAGGTCCCCTATTATACTGTTTTTCATCAATATATTATAGGTCTCAGATATATACAAACATGTTTCTGAAGTGTTTGGCTCGAAATACCAAATAGATCATGCATTGTAGCATCCCATAATCCCCTCTGTTTCAAAAGTGCTGATTCTCTGTCTGTTACTTTAGATGAAAATAAGGAGCCCAACGCCCCTCTGCGAGATATTTGGTTAAAAAGAACACAATGGTGCTCTAGGAGGAGATTCAGGTGATAAGGTGGCGGCCTTGGTTGGTGATTGGCTAATGGTTACACAAGCCAAAAAATCATGACATCATAAAGTGGCCAAAATCTGATCAGACAGGTTTTTATATAAATGGATCAGGACAAAAAGTGAGAGAATCTTTTTTCCTGAAACTTGAGGGGACATTGTATATTTTTATGTATAAAAGATTTTTATGTATAAAAGACATGAAAAAGTGGATTTTGCACAATAGGTGACCTTTAAGAGAACTCCAGGTTTTGCATTGTAATATAGAACACCTTTAAAAAAGAGACATCTTATAGAGCATGAATTTAGCATTACGTCTGTACTTGAGCTAAAAGGCAATTGATTGGGGAGGTTGCCCACAGCCCAGTGACCCTCACTAATATCCAGTAGGAGAGTTGTTCATTTTTACACGCGGTTGTGTTCACACACTAACCATCCCCCGCCAAAATAATATACATGATCTGATTCTAATAAATGATTAAATATGTATTCCATGGTTGCCAACCCTTTTGATTTTCCCCGGCTCTCTCCCCGCTGTTCTCCTGCAGTTTCAAATCCCATGATTTTTACCCCCCATATTGAAGTAATTTTCTAACTACCCATCCACTTTATAAATAGACAAGTATCACTGCTGTTTGTGATTAGGGTTTTAAAATGATGTACTTAATCCACAAATGTGACAGTTCAAATAGAGAAGGGAGAGTCGAGTTCATACATGCACAGACAAGCAGACAGACATTATGGCAGCTTAACAATAAGGTCGTGTTTTGGCCATTTCCTTAAGTTACTGTTCATATCCCTTTAATGCAGGATACATGTATTCAACCTGCATCTGACCTATGTTTAAGCTGATTCTGGTTGACCCCCATAGGGTTTTGAGTAACATTACTGTGGTGATCTTAAAAGGACAGAACAAAGCTGAGTTTCTCTGCAGGGATTAAGGAGAATGACAGAAAGAAAACTATCTCTGCAGTACTCATCAATCAGGTCTTTATGGTAGAGTGACTAGACAGAAGTCACTCTGGAGTAAAAAGCATATGACAGCCTGCCGGGAGTTTGGCGAATTGCCCTTACACGGCTCTGAAAGCATGAGAAATTATATATTTTTGGTATGATTAAACAAAAACTGAACTCTTTGGTCTGACTGCCAGACATCGCTTTTGGCAGTCAGACAAGAGACTCTCAGAGAGACCAGGTACCATGTAGCTAATATAATTCATACAAGGGAGGAGGGCCAAAAGTTTAATCAATTTACTATTGGTTCAAGAGTTCAAAAAGTAACTGCAAGCTCCAGTTCAATCAGACGGTGATGTAATAGAAAAACACAATGGAACCCAATGGTAAAAGGTTAATCAGTTTTGTAGTGTGCTTATAAGATACAGAATACAATACATGAATGTGAAAAAGATAGGTTTTGAAAAGAAGGCAAAACCGAGTATTTTAATTGTGTGCGTTTTTTATGGCCTTCAACTTTGATTTCTCTCCTGATTGACATTTGACTGCGTGAAGTTTCCTTGAACAGGAATTTCAAATGTAGCAAAATAACAAAAGATGAACTAGCTATTGGGCCCAAGAGAGAAACGACAAGGCCTAGAGAATCTGTAAGGACAAATGTATTGTAATATGAGCAGTTTTCTCAGCAAATACTTTTCTATTTCTACACCAGGTACACAGGTGTTCATGACTCGAGGACAGCTGATGAATTGTCATCTATGTGCTGGTATCAAACACAAAGTCTTGCTTCGCCGCCTGCTTGCCACATTCTTCGATAGGTGAGTACAAAAACATGCACTGTGAAGAAGAACTGTTTGCATGAGTCTGTAAGGGCCTACTGTAAGATTTGAGTTCTTTGTATGACTGCAACACTACAACTGTTGTCTCAAACCAACTTTCACACTCCATCTGTGGCCATGTTGTGCAATGCGGTTAGTTGTGTGTTCCCATGTTTATCTACTGTATGTGGCTGTTGCTGACTCTGCCCCCTGGTGTTGACTCCCTGCAGAAACACTTTAGCCAATAGCTGTGGGACAGGTATCCGTTCTTCAACTAGTGACCCCAGTAGGAAACCCCTGGACAGCAGGGTCCTCAACGCTGTCAAACGTAGGTTTACTTCCCAAATCCGCAAATATATTTGATAACATTTCAAAAGAGTACAATTTTTCTACATTGAGTTTTCTTTCTCTTTTACAGTCTACTGTCAAAATTTCAACCCTAACTTCAAGGAGAGTGAAATGAATGTGATTGCTGCTGACATGTGCACAAATGCGAGGCGTGTCCGCAAGCGATGGCTGCCCAAGATCAAGTCCATGCTGCCTGATGGCATGGAGGTGTACCGTGCAGGAATGGGCATGGGTGCTGCTGTGGGTTTGGGCCTGGCCCTGGGTGCCTCTCAACCAGGGGTGGCCCTCCCCTTCGAGGTAGACTTCAAGGCCCTAGAGCCTAGGTTGTTTCCTGATCGCAAGGACCCTCTCAGGACTCACGCAGCGGTGACGGAGGGCAGCCCCGGGGCTGGGGCGGCTGGAGCAGAGGCTGAAGGTGGAGTCCAAGAGGAGCAGGAGGAAGATGAGGATGAAGCTGGGTTAGAAGGTGTAGACGGATCAATGGGGGCACCAACATTGATCACAGGAGCTGAGGCAGGCAACTGTGGCGACACGCCTTCAGAGCAGGAAGTGGAGAATTTTGGACAAGGTCTGCGGGTGAACGGACAGTGAATGACGTTTTACGGCTGCCTCTCACATTGTGAATCTGTTTAACAGCGCATTTTCTTTTGCTTGCTCTCTTACTCAACATCTCGTCCATCACTCTTACTTCTCCCCTGTGCTTCCTCGACAGGAATTAATTCAGCACAATAGCTACGCTCGTAGATCTTAATATAGGCATTTGTCACACATGCATGCGCACACGTGTGCTTGTTAACACGCATACTTACTGATAGTAGAAGTAGATCACTCAAAGTAGAAGTAGACACAGGCATGGCATTAGCACATTAAGAAAATCAACCCTTTCTGCTACATCCTTTTCTTGGTATATTCAGTATTTACTCGGGTGTTTCGGCACCTGCAGCAATATTACAAAGGCCTGATAGCAGAACAAATGTCTGGAATGATTCATGATTTCAGAAAAATACAAATGCAACAGCTGCTTTGCTGGCATATTAGGGAGTGTAGTATAATGGTATGTAAAACTATTCTGTTTCCTTGAAAAGCAACATCCGTAAATAACCCATGTCACCTTGGGAGAAATAGAGAAATGATCTAACTCATTTTGTTGTATTAGTATGAATACAATGACTATATTATTATAAAAGGTCAAGTTCTGCATTACCACCGTTAAACAGAAGACATTTTACTTTATTTTATAACATGGGGTCATTTTGAGGATAAAGACGAGAAGTCCTCCACAATCCAACAAATAATCTATCACATGGAATTTAGTTTTCATGCATATTTGCCCGTGACATATTGGATTAGATTGTCAATGTGATGCCTGTGTCTGCTCCAGACCGCCTCTCCGAAACACACACACAGAAACATCAGCAGACACACACACACGCGCCCATATTCTCACTTTATGATACTAAGCCTTTAAAATCTGCACCAATGCATAAAAAAATACACTGTCCAAAAAAAGCGCGACAATGCTTTTTAACTTTGAGAAATCCTTTTGGATAACATCATTCTGTTTGGGAGATAGTGGGAGAGAGACATTAACAAGAGCGTGTTCAAATCCAAGCTTGCATGTCTGCAAACAATGAATACAGAGAATTATTGAAAACAACAACAAAGACACACACCTGCATCTAAATGATAAAACTGCTTCTATTGCCTCAAGATATGCCATGAAAGGACTTTTGTCCATTTTCCACTTGGATCTGTCCTCAGTCTGACTCCTGTTAGAACTGACCTGGGTGTGATCGACTGTGTTTAACACAGAACCCATTGGATCTGCTTTTTTAACCGCAGAGCGTGCTTTGACAACGGGTAGAAGAGACTGAACATATAGAGTGGTAAGCGCACTACACTGAGTGGCAAAGGAGCGAAGCACTGTTTCACCTCGATGTGTTCGTCTGATTGACCACATGGTCCTGCTTCCATTCTTTTTTTTTTCTTTTTTTTTCCTGGAGGGGTTGGGGGGTAAATTATTGAATAAAACTTCTTAGAGCAATTTCTGCTGGCTATTTGCATTTGCACTCAAAATAAATTGAACGGGTGGGAAACTAAGGAGTTTTGGCAAAATGTGACTGTACTAAAGACTGAAAGTGTCCTCCACATCACAGTGGTTGTTTATTTGATGAGGAGATTGTGGGTTTGTAAAGAGAAAACTGTTCTTTCTGAAAAAAACGGTTTCTATATTTTGGAAGGGGGGTGGGGTGAGGCAATGTCAGACAGGGACTAAAAACCTGTACTTTTTTTGATATCTTTCTGCTGTTCATGTTTTCTGCCACGCATATGGGACTTAGTCCAAAAAGCCTTCCTTTGTTGCATTGATTTTGAGAGATACACTGTTGTATGTTTTTTTTTCTGTTGTTTCTGTCAAAGAACATTAATTGAAAAGGTCAGACCATCAAATTCAGTGAACCCCAAAGTTATTGGAAAAATGAATCACACTTTTCCACTGCAAATTTGACAGCATAAATTGACTACCAAGCAAACAAACGATATGTATTGGCCCCTGATGTATTTGATCTGTTGGTTTTTGCTTCAGTGCTGTGCCACCTCAAATGTTGTGTTTACGTGTCATGTTTAGGATTCTTTATGAGAGGCTTTAAGATGGCCCTGCACAAGAAACACAGGGTTATAATTGCACTAGGTAATAATAATGATGACGTTTACAGAATTTAGTATGTTTTTCTTTTCTCTTTTCAAAGACATGGGTTCCACCATGGATAAAAACAGGACTGTGATAGAATGGCTGAGATGATGAATGAATGTAAACTGTAGCACTGTTCTGGCGAGAGGTCCAATCCTGGATTAGTAAAATACATTTCTTTTAATCTGGCCTTTTGTCACATTTGTATAGTGGGTCATTAAAAAAAAAAAGGCAGTAATATAACATTAAGTTGAATATGAGCCTCGATGGTGTTCAAAGTTTTTGTGATTTTAAAACTGGTCTTCCAAATTGGTATTTCCCTTACAAAAACTGAGCAAGGTTCGAGTACAGGCGTTCATTTTTCTTAAATACTATTGTGTTTTTAATCCTAATTTTGTTTTAATCGTTTTAGATTTATGGGTGTCTTTAATGTTCAAATATGTGTTGACAAAACAGACAAATTATTGACGTTAAGAATGTTAACTTTTCAAATCTAGCAAATTAATTCTTTATCAAATTGTGTTTCTATTTTTTATGAAAATTAAGATATTAAGTTCACTATTGGCACCACTAGCTTAACTTGCATGGCTTTATGATAGGATCACCTGCACTTCTTCGATGGTGTGGGTGCTAATTATGTGAAATTAACCTTTTATAAGACAAACAATACAAAATATTATGCAGACATTTTTTCTTTACGGAAATTGGCCTTTAAGGACCTTTGCTCAGTAAAATGTACTTTTATTTTTATATTTTATATACTCATTCACTCATCTTTTTGCTTAATGTTTGCCATATTTAATTCTATAAGGGTAAATGGTTAAACCCACTTCGATGCATTGAACAGTTCATTTGTAACAACCATGGATCTTCTAGAATGATCTCCTCACATTATTTATAATATTAACAGACATCCCTAAAATGTATACCAAAAATCTATAGTATTCACGTGTTCACGTTTAAGATCAGGCTTTTGACAGATTTATAATCGGACTAGTCTTCTTTACAAGACAATCCCACAGATTAAACATTTGGTTCCCCATCCTGCATTTACATTTCTGCTTGTTTACAGTTAGTCTGCCTTACAGGAAATATGTCTGTCTCGTTCCTTGCCAACAAAAAAAACAAACCTTTTTATGGAAATCTTCTCTGGTTTCTCTTCTGCTTAGTCTTTTTCTTGTGCAGGGCAAATTTGAAAATGAATGATGTTGCACTATAAACTGAGATATTCTCAGAGAATGTCATGGATAACCTTTGGTAAGGTGAGCTGTTTGAGGTGGCCTAAAGAAAAGGTCCTGTTAAAATGTATGTAATGCTATGTATTTTACATATTTTTTCAATATATTTGATTGAAACCAGGTCTCCTTCACAGAAAATTCTGAATTCATGAAAAACATTTTCTTTAAATAGTTTTGGAAATGTGTCTTTTGCAATATCTGCCATTCACCTGGATGATCATTGAACATTACAAGTAAGAGATAGGAAGGTTTTTCACATTTCTTTGCAAATAAATTGTTACTTACTTTCTAAAACCTTAGTGCTCTGTTCATCACCCCATAACTGTAAAACGTATGGGCACAGTAGTGCCATTGGTTTTTCCAGGAAACAATACATTTATATGCAAAGAGACTCTTGTATCATATAATGCATGCCATTCAGAAACTCACTCTAACCCAATGAAACCTCTGATCTTTATGCACCATGTATTTTATGCTGAATAACTGTTGTCACTGTTAGCAAACAAAGACTGTGGAGTCCTGCAATGAGTAGGGTTGTGTTTTTATCAAACCCTGGCCTTTTATTGAATGTTTGTGTCAACTTTAATCTTCTTTAAAAATGACAGCAAAGTAGTGATAAAGAGTTGAAAACATAAACTAACTACCCAGTTGAGTGTGCATTTGAACCTTCTGCAGACTCAGAAAAAATGCACTAAACGTTTGTATGTGTCCTTGAACATAATGCCAGCACTTTAGAACTACTTAGAAACAAAGAGAGAACAGAGTAACTGTGGGTTCGGTGAACGAGGAGAAAAAGCAACTTTTAAAGCCATGTGTTCAGAGCGCTGACAATCAGAATAGGATGAGACCCAAAGTGCATTATGGGAGATCTGACATGACTTGCTGTGCTCTTGCTGTTTGCTTTGTCTATCTCCAGCTTGCTTTGGTCTGTGCTAGCTTACTTTCCAGAGCAGAGGGACTGGATGATGTTCACTCCAGCCTTCTTGGTTAAAAGTGTGTGCAAAAAGAACTGACTACATTGGACTAATACCTTGGTGCTTCGTGAACAGAGCTATTCCATGTTGACATGGAACATATCTGTAAGGCTCTACTAAGCATGGCCCAAATAGGTCCTAAGTCTAGGCATATTGGTATCCTCTTAATGGACAGTCTTTAGGACAAAAGAGGATCTTATCATGCAAGCCTGCACCTTGATAATGGTAACGTACTTCACTATCAACAGGGCTTAGACCAGGCAAACTGGGATTTGACAATTTCAGTGTTGATACTGCTTTATGTTTAAAATTAAAATGTTAATGCGCCTTCTGTCTCAAGCATCAATAATATATACAACAGAAATGCAAGTTGCCACTTTTGATGTTGCATACGAATCTACCTTTCATTCCCATCATGGTATTTTCCATCACCAGTCTCAATTGTGTAGTCCAAGAGTACCTGATTTCTTTAAATGCAATACAGAAAAATCTGCTTTCTAATAAAAGTCCTTACTTCACCAAATTGCTCTTGTTTCTTTTGTCTCTGTTGGTATGCTCCTGTGTTATTTATTTAAGTTGTGTACGGTAAGCTACCTTCAGGGGCTTGTCGGGTGCAGAAACCCACAATAAGTATTCAGAGGCGTATAGGTACTCAACCTCTACAATGTTCGATACCCTATGAATCAATTAACCCTATGTTTTAAAGAAATTGAAATAGAAAGATTGATTCCACCAGGACACATGTAGTAAACAAAGATGTAGTAGGCCATGGTTTGTTTTTGGAGGCGATTGGTAAAATAGCATTTATTATCTATATATATATATATTTATTTTTTAAACAATGTGCATAGGAGATTTATATTTTCTGGAGTTTTGTCTGTAAAAGTAACTAGGTGATTACAATAAATACCAGTTATTGTCATCCTTTTGTAAAGTAACTGAGTTAGTGTAATAGTGTGGTCTCGGGGTACTCTGGTATCTACTTCTCATCCTGCGTACGTAGATGACGTTTTTCTGTCGCAAAAATCGCGCGGCGTGTGTTCAGCTCTCCTGACAGACAAATGTGGCTCACTAGAAATTTGTCTCCGACACAAATAAGTGAGGAATAAAGAATACAAAATATTATCGGGAGAAGCAACAACTACTTTGCTTCAAAATGAGTGACGACACAGACAACCCTCCTGAGAGGGAAATGAAGGTAAGCTTAGTCAATAAATAGTGTTGACAAGTTAGCATCTGTGAGCTAATGTTTGTTCGCATTTTCAATGCTTCTGGGTAGCTTAGCTGGCTTGCTAGCTGTTCGTCTTTAGGTTTTCCGTTTACACCTGAATCATAAACATATACAAAAAAGATATTGGTTACTTACACACAAATAACAGTTAGATATGTCGGTTTAAAAGTGTGGCACGAAGAAGCTGTTAGTCACTTTTATCTTCTTAGTTTCTAGCCAAGTAGTTATCCTAGAACGCTAGCTATTAGCATATTTGCTAGCTACGTCATATAACATTATGCTCATTGAGTGTTCAGTGTTTACTTGTGGTTGTGAGAATTAACAACTGTATGCGCGTGAAATAAATAAATTAGGTAGTTGTCACGTTTAATACACGTTTGCTCTAATGGTATAAATGGAGTCGCAGTTAAGCATAGTTAGCTAATGTGAAGTGACTGCACAGCATGTTGGCTATCAAGATAGATTTTACTTTCTATTTGGTGCTTTGCGTAAATTACCGATGTCACAAACTGGTCAAGTTGAAAGTATCAGATACCTGTTTCAAAGGAAAGCATAACAACCAGAGGTGGGAAGTAGTGGAGTACAAATACTTCGTTCCTGTACTGAAGTACATTTTTCTGGTACCAGTACTTTACTCCACTACTTTTTTAACATAAATACCTGTACTTTCTACTTCTTACATTTTCAAAACAGGTTCGTTACTTTAGTTTGAATCTGTGTTTAGTGGCGTGATCATTATTATTTAGAGTCATTGCGTGCCTATTGATTTTAACAAGATCCGTGTCTCCTTCATTTCCTGGTCTTCTCTAAAGAAGAGGGACCAATGAAAACGGTCATTTTGCAATTGTTCAGCATCGAAACATTCATTAGCTAACAATGACATTATTGTTCTATTAATATAAATTGAGGTCAGTTACTCTTTAAAACAGTTAGTTATGGGTACTTTTTACTTAAAGGTGGGGTAGGTAATTCACTTCAGAAACACTTTTTGTTATATTCCATGGAATGCTCTTAACATCACGATAGCAATGAATACATTAAATGCTTTGACAATAAATACATACATTTCATCTGTGGAAGCCGTAGCGCTGTAAAAAGCACGACCAATCATCTGAGCCGGCCCGGCTAAAATAACTGGATGGCCTACCTGCCTGTCAGCCTTCCATCTCATGCACAAACGTATCTCGTGCCCTCATTGGTCATGTGCGCGTTCGTGTGTGTTGGAGGAGGGGCTCTGGGAAGTCTGAAGGAAGGGGCAGATTTTTTTCGGTTACGTACTTTCAAATTCTAGCGCACTCGAGCTGGTTTCTCCATTCTTACCTACCCTACCTTTAAGTACATTTCCAAGCCCATACTTCTTTACTTGTACTTAAGTAAAGAAGTGTAGTTAATACTTCTACTTTTACCAGAGTATTTTACCTCTGATAAAAATTAATGTTTCTCGCAGTAAAGTAAATGTCTCTGTTATAATATTCTGTGTTATTATATATATACAGTGTATGTCTTCAAGCATGGTTCCAGTATACTTGTTTTTGTCCCTATGAAGACAGTTTAGTTTGCAGATATTGAACTGGAACCACTTACAGTTTGTTCACCAATCATAACGGCTGACCCTGAAGTTATAAGCATTGCTTGTGTTTCTTTTTTTTCAGGATTTTCAGTTTCGACAAATGAAAAAAACCAGAGTCTTTCAGCCCACTGAAGATTTGCCAAAAGAAAGAACTAGTCTGCTTACCATCTCAAACAAATTCGGTTTAACTTTTGTCGGGCTCGACAGAACATTCAAGGTTTACCAAACTCAAGACATCCTGGGTGCTGATAAATTTGATGGCAACCCCAACGAAGTAGGTATGTATATGACTTTAGAAATTGTTTTGCACAACATTGGCATGTTGGCTGTTGCTAACAATTCGTCTTCACCCTGCTTTCCGTTTAAGTCTTTTACTCACAATTTGCTCCATTTTGTTCTAGTCGAGGGGACACCTGTATTGGCAGACGTGACTGTGGATCTGTCCCTGCACCACTTAGCTCTCAGTAGTGATGAACTCACTTTGTCAGTATGTGGTATTTCTGAGGCGGGGGGGTTGTCCTTCACCTTCTATGATGTCCGCACCTTCATGAACAAGGTGACTATTTTTATCCTACTTTGACTCTTTCAATGTATGTATTGAGACATTGTATTTGAAGATGGTGTAGTAGTGTTTGCATAACAAAAATAGCTTAAACAGTGCAAGATTAGCTATTTACTTACATTGTTGTATCCAGTCTGACCAGCAACATGAAAAGCACCCTGACATACAGCAATTATTTTAGATTCAATTATAATTTATAATTAGTTTTACAGTTCAGCATAAAGTCTCCAAATAATGCCTTCTATGTTGACCGTTAAAAGTACACAGTTTGTAAACCTTCCCAGCTGATGTACATAGTCTGCATGCAACAGTTTAATTATAGTAGTACATTATGAAATAATTGCATGGAGTTCTTGTCAGTTATTATTAACTATTTTCAGTTAAATGTAGTACGTTTCTAACCTGGCTACTCAATTATTAAATGCCCCAGTGTTTGACAGATTTACATTAAAAATATATATGTTTCCAGGCAAGAACCCAGAAACTACCTTTTGCATCACTGCTGCCTGCAGTAGCCCCTGGCTCTTTAGTGCAAGACCTGAAGTGGAATCCTGTCCAGCCGTCAATGCTCGCCGTCTGTCTGTCTGACGGCTGTTTGATGATCTTGGATGTTACTGGCGATGTCAAAGTGCAGGCCCAGCTACCTGCTTCAAATGGCATCACATGTAGTGAGTGAGACTCGTCACCTTGAGTTTACTTCTGCTCCATATATTTATTGTGGCTCAATTTGAGATAATGTTCTTTGTTTCTCGCAGTTGGCTGGAGTCCAAAAGGAAAACAAGTTGCTGCAGGGAAAATGAATTCTGAAGTCAGTCAATATACACCTGTAAGTAATCCTTATTCCTCATGATTAAAAATAAATCACTTAGAGCTGCAGAATCCGACTAACGGAAGGAATAACTGACTTAATCTTATTTTTAAAGGCACTAGAGGAAAAAAGAAAAATCCCCTGTCCCAGCTTCTACACTTCTGACCCTGTCAAAGGTAAGGAAAATCCTGTATTGATAAATCAACTGATATTTGTGTGTTATGCACATTAACTGAGCCGGATTATTAATGAGATGAAATACTTTATTTATTTGACATCAATATATTTAATATTCTCGTTTAGTTTCACTTGTATTACTGTATCTGAACCCTATCTGTGGCTAATGCCTCTCTTTCCTGTTGTCTCTCACAGTTCTGGATGTGCAGTGGCTGAAAACGTTTGTGTTTGCTGTGGTCTATGCTGCTGCAGACGGGTCCCTTGAGACCCCTCCTGAGCTCGTATTGATCTCCCTTCCTGTGAGTGCACCCTACAACCACAGTGCACTGAATTCACCTTCACACATTTTGATTATTTTCAGGTTATACCCCTTCAGTCTCCTCTGCTTCTCACTCATCACCTCAGCAGATACATTTTACCATATATTTATTTTGAAATTCACATCAGCTTTTCTTGTTTGTTGGAAGATTATTCCTCCACATGGCCACAACAACAAGGTGAAGAAACAAATGCAGCCTTAGGTGCTTTTGCCAGATATGTCAGCTTTAGAGGCCATGTGCTTTGTGGTGTTAACAGATTGTTTTTGGCTCTGCAGTCGCGTACAGGCTCCTACTGCGGCTCCCTGTGCCTCCTAATGTATTGTTACTTCACTAGGATGCTTCTTTAAACTGACAACTAAAGCGCACAGTGTAAGACATTATTGTTGGTTTCATAGAGCTTCACATCTTACCACACATCTCCTACTTCACATCAACTGTTTAACAGAATATTACTTTTAAATCGCAGTTGGATGTCAATGGGCATTATGTGCTTCTCAGTATATGTAGTGACATTGTTTTTCTTGTAAAATGGAAGAATCAGCTAGCAGTTGTTTCATTAGTTGAATTATTTTAATGTACCTTAAGAAACTGTTTTAACGTTGGATTTCTCTGTGTGTTTTTGTAGAAGAAGGATGAGAGGCCGGAGACAAAGTATCTGAACTTTAGTGACACGGTGTACGGCAGCTGCACGGAGCGACAACACCACTACTTCCTTAGCCATGTGGAGGACTGGTGAGTTTGATCACCATTTACATGCATTGATGGTGAAGGATTCCCCCAAAAGATGGGGCAAGATATTAAGTTTGATTTCTTTCAATATCATGAAGAATTGGTGTAATATTTGCTTGGTTTCTTTTATTCAGGGACCTCCTGTTTGCAGCATCAGCGGCCTCCATTGAAGTCAGTGTCATAGCCGCCAGACAAGAGGACAAGGTATTAAATGACGTGAAAAGCTAAAGATGTTATAGAAATCATACGTTTAAATGACACACTGTTTTGAATAAAGATAGAAATGAAAGGTGTCGATCTCAATGATATGTTTCCATTGTCATTCCAGGAGAGAAGTCAAATATGATATTTGTATAGTTTTGATAGAAAAAACATGACATTACGTGGTTTGAAAGTATCAAGGAGAGTTGCATAACTTTTCTAACAAGTTCTTCTCACTCAGAAGAACACTATTTTTTTTTAAATAATGCAAGCTACCAGAGCTTCCTCCATCCACAGTGAGCAAGCCTAATGCCATACATTAAACTAGCCCATTCAAGGACAGTAAAGCAAGGTTGTGAATGTGCTTAAACACATTTTCCATTACTGTATCAGGTTTCCACAAAAAAAAGAAAATGTTATTATCATTTGAAATGCACTGAATTCGACTGTTTGTTGTCCTTTTAGAACTGGGAGCTTTGGATCCTGGAAGATGCGAGTAGAGCTGAGCTTCCAGTGACGGAGACGAGTGAAGACACGCTGCCTCTCGGCCTAGCCATAGACTACACCAGCCAGCAGGCGATCTACATCAGTGAGTGGATTTGGTTTTCTGTTCATTTCCTCTCTTCACCTGTCTGACGCGTGCGCACGTAGACTACAAAAAACACTTACTCAAATGCTTGTTAATTTTGGAGCCCACTAATGTCTGTTTAAGCACTTCAGCGTTCAATTGAAATCATTTTGGCAATTTGTATTGGATTTTACAGTTAAATGTTGAAGATTTATTTAATCTGAGTTCTAATGAGTTTCAAATCATCAATGTACTTTATCCGAATACTGATCACTATAACATTATAAAGTAATAAATAGGATTAGTTTTTTGTATATTGCTTTAATGTTTCCAATGTGTTTAGTTATAAATGGTTTTGCACGTCTTTGGTGAAGCAAAAAAAATGCACTGGGTTTGAAAGAAAACAGTGAAATGACAGAATGAACTTTGTGGAGCGAATCCAACCAGCTGAGGCCGGTTTGAACACTATCTTCCATCAGCAATATTGCCCTTCCCTAAAAGCTTGTTTTAATGAACATGTATGCTTAAAAGGTGTCATACTCTAGCACGTAAGGTATATGATTTACTGTTTACAAAATCTACAAACTAAAGCTTTCTGTCATATCAAGTTTTCTTTTAGGCATGTTTAAGTATTGAGTCTGTCTGTGTCCTATTAATATTAATATTAACAGTTGGAGTTATCTCATGAAATGCATTGTCCTAGTTTGTGGTTAACCCTCCCCTAATGATCAGATTAACTGAAATATGCCAGGTTCCTATGTGCATACAGCATCCACTGCAGTGCTCTATTGCAGCATGTGTCAAGAATAGTGAGAAGCTAGCGTCTCGGCGCACTGTTTTATCTAAAATGGCCCAGTCTGCCAGACATTCACGTAGAGCTGCTGCTGCTGCTGCTGCTGTCTAGTCACATCTCTCCATGCTCACTCCATGAAAAAAAGAACTCTCCTCCCCAGTGAGAAAAAACCTGCAATTTGGGCAACATTGTAGTCTGATCAAAACCTTTATCTGAAGTGAGAACACATTAGATATGGAAAGCAAAGTGAGAGTTATCTGTGGAGAAGAAATGCAGTCATTAAAATGGCTCAGACAAGCTAGAGGACCACAACAAACAACAAAGCCCAGACGATCCTGTTGCAGAATGCTGATGAGCTTAACCGAGTGCCGCTCCCTTCTGTTCCCTCGCTTTGCCACTCCTTATCTTTCGACTATAGTTTCATAACTGAGATTAAACTGCACATTAGGTGCTGTATTTATGTTCTGCATTGTGTGCTTATTCTGTCCAGAACTTAGTATCACTTTTACTAGTGAAACTTAATAACTATGTTTGATCACATTTGTAAATCGAATATATAAATGTATTTTTGTGTATATAGCTTATGCAGAGAATAAAATACTCAATACTTTTAACATTGTCCAAAGCAGACATGCAGTGGGTGGAATGAATATACATTAGATGCAAAGTATCGGATAATAGCCAGGGATATGAGTCAGTGGCAATTAATCAAACGCAGAAACTCAGAAGGAGCAGCTGCTGCTGTCATCTACTGATGACAATGGAAGGTATAAGTGAGAAATAGTTTTAGATATGAGACAGCTGTAGCGAGAACAGAGAGGACAAACTGTTCATTGTACTTTTTGATGTATCTGAAATGAGTTGTATCAACGCTGACTAATTCATCTTTATTTTGGGGTGTGAGTTCTCAGTGTGAAATTAGTTTGGTTTAGAAAAGTTTGGTGTGCAGCCCACAACTTACTGGAAAGTGGGCATGAAGAGCAGGAAAGAGTAGGGGTTTGGCAACAAGAAGAATGAGATGGACTGTGTTTTACCAAATGAAGCATCTTAGGATATTTTTGTCTGTACATGACTTCAGTGTGCCTTTTCAAACTGAACACTGGGTTCTTTTTTAAACCACTGGGGGGCAGAATGAACCACGGTCAATGTGATGAGTACAGCAGTAACATACAGGCCGTTTCTCCTGCTGCAGAGCCACTATTTCAAGTATACTACGTCATCGAGTGGCACCGAATGCTGGGCATTTAACATGCATTTAAACAGTCCTTCGGCGCCACTCGATGACATAGTATACTTGAAATAGTGGCTCTGCAGCAGGTTTACTCGACATTGAGAAACGGCCACTGTCTTTGTGCTCAAATGCTGTCAACACTTTCATGATGATTAAATTGTCAAACTGCATTTTGCTCTCATGGACATAGCAAGCATAGTGAGCAAACAACACCTACTGTTAATCATTTCCCTTGTGCAGAGGTGTGAGTTGGAGCGCAAAGCTGTGAACAATGCCTTATAATGTATTACCAAACTCTGTTGCACATGCTTTGGCTCTTAATTAATAGACTCTATACACAATGTTAAGATAGATGTGGATTCTTCCTGGCTCTCTGATCACAAAATGTCTGGAAAAGTTATGTGTGAGTCTTTCACTGCTCATCATGTAGACTACAGTGTTTCTCCATCTGATTATCCCTCTCCCTACTCTCTCCCCTCTCAAAGCCGATGAGAAGACCTTGCCCCCTGCGCCCACCATGCTGATGCTGTCCACGGAGGGGATACTCTGCCCATTTGCTCTGCTAAACCTCAATCCTGGTGTTAAGCAGCTGGTCGCACCCCCATCTGTTCTCGCCCTGGACGGGGAGAGACCGCCCATGCCAGGTGAGAGCCAGTGAACTCAACAGATGTTTTTAGAATAAAATGTTGTAGAGATTGATTCATAATCACACATTGCAATGGTACATGTATCAGGGTTCGTACGGGTGCTGGAAATCCTTGAAAATGCTTGAAAGTTTACGTGGTGTTTTCAAGGTTTGAAAAGTGCTTGAATTTTGGGAATGGTGCTTGGATTTGAGATAAAGTGCTTGAAATTGTAAATGCTTTACTTTTACAATAAATTGATGTCTGACTGAATAGTTCGCTTTTTAGATTAAAAGAAAAGAATTGCTTCGCTTCTACATAAAACAGCTCCGCTCCGGCCTTCCCACGCTATGCGCGCGACCTGCAAGTGTTTTTTTGTGTGTGACCTGGGCATTCAAATGAGAGTGATTATAGATGACAGTATGCCAGGAGGTTGCTGTTTTAACGAGCGTTGGCTATCCGAAGAAAAATACAAGCCATGGCTTGTACAACTGAATTTCCCCACAGGGATTAATAAAGGTCCATCTTATCTTATCTTAAAACGAGGATCAACCCAACGAATAGCCTCCTGCAAAGTTTGCCACAAAGAATTTCAATTATTCACGATGGGAGAGTCTGCGCTGACGAGCCACATGAAAGGTAAGCCGTAGTAGAGCATTTTGGATTAGGCTAACGTTGCATGTTATGTTTGTTTAAGCTAGTAACGTTAGCGAACTCGATGTGGGATAATTGCTTATGCAGGTGACAATAATTTCAGAGGAGCGTACCTATGTCAGTATGTGCGACAGTCGCCATCCTGTGGTGTTCAGAGGATGAAGCACTCACTGTTGTAATTCAACCTAGTCTCACGGCATTTCGTGTCACAAAATGTAATCTATTGAATCATTTTCCCATTTGTTTCATGTCACACAGAACGATTTTAAAAGCAATGTATTTCTACTGGTAGTATTTTTCGTGCCTAAACTTGCTCTATCGAAATCAGTCACATTGACCCGAAGACACATTTTGAGTTATATACACTGTTGGAAAGAGGATATTCCTAGCTTTCTAACGGAGGAAACATATTTTCGTTTGTACTGGTCTGGGGGAAGCTCGCGAGTGTGTATGTGTGTGTGTGTGTGTGTGTGTGTTTGTGTATTTTTGCGTAAAGGTATATTGTGTTTGTTTCCCGGGGAAAACACTCACGAGAAACACCGGCTGTTGTTATGCCTGCTGTGACGTTAAGTTACTCCGTTCTCCGCTTGTAATTATGCCGTTACAAGCTTCAAAGCTGTATTTATCATCTGAATTTGCCGAAACAAGTTTAATATTCTGAAAGCTAAGACTTTGTTTATTTGAAATCAGATGAAAACAAACTGTAACGGACCCTGCCGTGTTATCTATGATTACTATACACCATACATTCATAATTTCAGCCGGAGGGAGGGGGAGCAGCGCTGCGGAAGAGCAGGGTGCGAGGGAGAGCCGTCATCTTCCCTTTACAAGCTTCAAACATGTATTTATCGTGAGATTGTGGCAATAAAAGTTTCATATTCTGAAAGCCAAGACGTTGTTTATTTAAAATCAAACAAAACACCCGAACCCTGAAAAACAATTTTTTTCCCCAATCCACGTTTATTTTTGAAATGAGCCATTTCGACTTCAGACTGATTTCGATAGAGCGGGTCACATATAACACATTAGAAGGAAAAACAAAAATACAGATTTCAGTATTCTGAGGCTCTGAGCCCCATTTATTTTCCTCACGGACGGCAAAAAAAGTCCAACATTATACAATTAAAATAACAACAAAATTTCACAGCTTCTGGTCTTCCAAGACCCGACCGGACAAAAAGACGCAGGCACGAAACATACTACCAATAGAAATACAATGCTTTTAAAACCAAAAAAATTGGGATATCGTGTTGGTGAACACGAATCATTAGATTAATCCAGATCTGTAAAGTAACTAAAGGTATTGCATACATTTAGTGTATAAGTACACAATTTACATCTGAACTGTAGTGGAGTAGAAGTAGTACACAGTTGCATAAAATGAAAGTACAAGTATTTTAAAATTGTACAGTACTTGAGTACATTTACTTAGTTACTTTACACCACTGTACGCTACTGTATGTCATGTTACTGCCATGAAAGAGATTAAACAAGTAGATAACTTAATAAAATAACACATACAGCGACATAACTGAATGACAACTATCATTTTCAGCATCTTACTGATAACTGTTTTATGAATAAACAATTTGTGTTTATGATATGTTATTTAGGAAAGAAGCATCAAGATTGGATGAGAAGACTTCAAACTCCAGGTCCTACATTAGGAGATTTTTTCCTAACAGACAAGGGATGCATCAAGCAGCACAGCTACATCCACATCAGCAACCAGCAGTGTAGAGAGAGCCAATACAGTGGAAGCCACCTGTGGAGTAGCGACAGGAGTTGCCCCTCTAATATCAGCAGGTTCATCAAATCCACCCAATTCATCCAGCAAGACCACAGGCACTTTAACATCATTTGTTAGCTCTAATCCAACACTCAAAGCAGAAATATGTTGGGCAACAAACGTTGTAACCAGCCACTATTCGTACAAATCATGTGAGAACGCAGAGGCCATTTTCCAGACAATGTTTCCTGACAGTGATGTAGCGAAGCAGTTCAGTTGTGGGGAGAATAAAGTGGCATATCTCACTACATTTGGGATTGGTCCTCATTTCTCTTCCATAATGAAGGCCAAAGCCAAGAAAGAGTCTGGATATGTTCTTCTGTTCGATGAAAGTCTGAATCGGGAAATGAAGAAAAGCCAGCTTGACATCCACATTCGATTCTGGAATGATAACCAAGTAAACTCAAGGTATCTGACATCGTTTTTCATGGGTCATCTCACTGCAGCACAAATCTATGAGAAGGTTGAGACAGTGTGTTTGGATATAGGCTTCCAGAACCTGATTCAACTGTCAATGGACGGCCCAAATGTGAACTGGAAACTCTTCTCCATAGCCCAGCAAAACATTGAAGGACAAACCGGCAAGAAAATGCTAAATGTAGGAAGCTGTGGTTTGCATATACTACACAACTCCTTTAGAGCAGGGTGTGCAGCCACAAACTGGGAGCTGGGAAATGCTCTGTCAGCCCTTAAATGGCTTTTCAAGGATGTTCCAGCTCGTAGAGAGGACTATACAGAAGTCACTGGTACCTCATCCTTCCCTCTTGACTTCTGTCATCATCGATGGCTTGAAAATGTGGAGGTAGCTGAGCGTGCCTTACAGATTTTGCCTTCTCTAAAAATATACATCGATGCTGCCAAAATGAAAACTGTAACAGAACCATCTACTAAGTCTTTTAAGACTGCTCAGATGATTGTTCAAGATGACCTCTTCGAAGCAAAGCTCAACTTCTTTTTAATGGTGGCAAGGAAAGTCACACCTTTTTTGAAGTTATACCAGACTGATAAACCGATGCTGTCATTTATGAGTGAGGATCTCTCTAATATACTGAGGAGTCTAATGGAGAAGTTTATCAAGCCCAGTGTCATGAAGAATGCCACTACCACAGTCAAGCTTCTGCAAGTTGACTTAACTGACCCAGTCAACCACATGGATGTCACCAAACTGAGAGTGGGATTTGTCACAGAGCGAGGTCTGGAGGAACACATGAAGAAGAACTCAGGTGCTGAGAGGTTGAGGCTGGAGTTCAGAGAGAATTGCAAGTTGTTTTTGCTGAAGATGGTCTCCAAGCTTTTGGAAAAGGCTCCACTGAAATATCCCCTTGCAAGAAACTTGTCTGTTCTGGATCCAAGGGTGCTTCTCAAGAGCAAAGAAGTAAGCACACGAAAACTCACTACTGTTCTGCGGCTCCTTGTGGAAACTGGCCGCATTGAAGAAAAATGTTGCGATGAGATCATTAGGGAGTTTGGTCACTTCTATGACCACAGCCTTATGTCAGCGCCAGATTCCTTCAGGGACTTCAACCCACAAAGTGGAAGATTGGATGAATTCTACCAGGAGCATTTATCCAACAAAGCAGAGTGTCGTCATCTATGGGAGGTAGTAAAACTCGTCCTGGTCCTTTCACATGGTCAAGCATCCGTTGAGAGAGGGTTTTCAGTTAACAAGGAAGTGATGGTGGAGAACCTCAAAGAGCATTCATTGATTGCTCAGCGGGTCATTAATGACCATGTGCACAGTGTTGGAGGGCTGCTCAACATAGCCTACACAAAAGAGCTGCTCATCTCTGCAGCATCTGCCAGGCAGAAATATCACATGTATCTTGATGACCAAAGACGTCTAAAGCAAGATGAGAAGAAGACACAGAAGAGGAAAGGAATGATGGAGGAGATAACACAGATAAAAGCCAAAAAGAAGAGAATGGAGGAAGACATAAGGGTCCTCATGAAGTCTGCTGATCATAACGCAGAAAAAGCTGAGTCACAAGGACAACTAAGCTTCATCTCCAAGTCCAATGGCCTTCGAAGAGCTGCTAAGGAAAAGGAAAGACATCTGGAGACTTTGGAGAGACAGCTAACTGATAAACTCAAGGAACTGAAAGACACTCCCTAATAGGCCGTATGCTATTTAGCCTTGAATGATTCAGTGTATAAGCCTTGGTGTCTCTCTGTCTCAGCTCGCAGCACACACACACACACACACGCACACAAAACCTACTGACCCAAAGGACCTTGTCAGGCTCTGTAGGCCTCGTAGTGTCGCAGTAGTCAGGAAGGCAGGGAACTAATTGTTACCTTGGCTGTGTAAGATGTCGGTTTGTTTACCTCAATAGATTTCTATGCTGTTTGGTATAAGAAAATGTGGTTTGTGTCTCCCACTTCCGTTTCCTTTCATGTAAATAGTTTAATCCTGTGATTGCTCCTGCGTGTTGTGTGAGGATGCATTTAGGGACTCGTGTGTTCTGCAGACCTGTGGTGGAGCACTCATCCGCCGCAGAGTAGCGAATAAATCCAGAGAAATCCACTCGATGGAGAAGGGATGTTAAAACCCAAACTGGAATCCGGTCTGTCTCAATGAGCCTCATTTTCTGATTTAAAAAGTGGTTGTACATTTTATCTTACGATAAATCAATATTGTAAAAACCAAAACTCTTACACAGAAAGAGGATCTCTGCACACGCTCCCCCACTTCAGAAACTGACCTCATGCTGTTACTCAGATTAAAGTCTTATGTTCTGTTTTTATTAGATAGAGAAATACCTTGCGTTATATGGGGAGTTTGCCCATAATTTATATAAATATATATATATTTGTATGATGTAGAAAGTGTGTGCTCTGTGGCCTCGCTCTCTTCACACTGTGCTCGGTTGGTCGCATTGTATCAAAAGAAAACGTTTGTCCTAACCTTGGAGAGTCGTATGTTTACTGCCAACTTAAAAGGACCTAAAAAATGTTAAAAATGTTAATAAAGAATTGATTGAAAAGTTATTTGGCTGATTGTTTTATATTGGCTCAGCCAGGTTATATGGGATGCCCAGTCTACTTGCATATGGGTCACTCATTTTAAAATATTAAACTTTGTTTTCTTATCTTTAATTTTTCCTCCTTATGTAGAATGCTATTACGAAACACACATTTAGTTGTTTATAGCATAAAGAACATCTGATTTAATGTGAGGTAGGGAAATAATCATTTGAGTATACGTATGTGCACATAAATATGTAATTTACAACAGCTGTAAGCTGCTTGAAAATGCACCTTGAAAATGCTTAAAGTGCTTGAATTTGACTTTGGAAAAGGTGTAAGAACACTGATGTATGAAGTCATTGGCCGTTTCTCAATCGCGAGGATGCTGGCTTGGTAGTCGCGTACTTCCAAGTCACTTCCTTCAGAAACGAAGCAAGTATGCTTCCAAGCCACGGCTTCGGAAAACGAAGAAGAATGGAACAGGCTAACAAGTGTGCCAGCCAGGTGTGCGTCATATGAGAGGCCCCGCCTTACATTTTCCGCCAGTGATTTGGGGATATTGGTCCGTGCGCAAAGCATTGTGGGGATTTTAAGGACGCGAAGTCTACCCATGTGCAGCCTCGAAATTTCCCCCAAACCAAGGACGCGGCCTCGGTGGAATTCCAAGTATGCTGGACATTGGAACGGTCCTGCTGCGCCACTTGATGACGTAGCATCCTTGAAATATTGGCTTGGAAGCCAATATCCTCGCGATTGAGAAACGGCCATTGAATGCAGTGATACCAAAGTGTTTGCAAGATTCTTCCTTATTGGTGTGATGCTGTCATGATACTGAAAAACATGGACATATCATTGGACATGTCTCCCATTAGTTTCTAAAGGGAAGTTGTAAGTCTGGAATTTGGTAACACAACTCAGTTAAACAGCTCGAGGGACATGTCAATCAAACAAACAAGATATGTTAAAGGAACAAGACTTTTATTCTGCTTATCTGTTTTTAAACTAATGTACACCTAAACCAATTGCTTTTGATAGTTTTATTACACATAACATCATCACATTGGTCGCACAGTGCTGATTTGTTTTTAAGTGTACTGGGGATGAGAGCAGAAAGGAAGCATCTTTGCTAATTGCAGTGTTATCTTTGTCATTTATTACACACAAACATTTATTTTCCAATTATTAATGTTTTTTACTTTCTATTTAGTGAGACCTGTTCATTTGCTTATACAGGGATCTGTCTGACTCCGTGAAGTTTTACTTTTCTATGAAGCTAGGAAAACATTGTTCTTTACCCAGCCAAACACCTCAACAACGTTTATACAAATTCCCTTAAAGGTGGGGTAGGTAATTTTGGAGAAACCGGCTCGAGATCGCTAGAATTTGAAAATACACAGCCGGAAAAAATCTGCCACTACTTTACAGAGCCCCTCCTCCAACACACACGAACGCGCACATGACCAATGAGGGCACGAGATAGGTTTGTGCACAGATGGAAGGCTGACAGGCAGGTAGGCCATCCAGTTATTTTAGCCGGGCCGGCTAAAATGATTGGTCGTGCTTTTTACAGTATTACGGCTTCCACAGATGACATTTTTTTTGGGATTTTTTGTCAAAGCACTTAAGATATTCATTGCTATCGGGATGTTAAGAGCATTCCATGGAATATAACAAAAAGTGTATCTCAAGCCGGTTTCTCAAACTTACCTACCCCACCTTTAAGCTCTGAAAGGAATAACTATTAACGTTGTCTTTCTAATGCTTCTAGATTTAGCCACCTTTGCTTGTAAACACAACTTTTGATCAAATGAAAGCAAATTTAATTTTCTTTTCACAGGTGCTTTGGCTGCCCAACCACCCAAAGTCGCTGCCTCCATCCCATCTGCCTCCATCCCATCTGCTCCAGCGACATTCCCAAATCTCAGTTTTCCTCCAGTTGCTGCTCCCGCTCTTCTGGCCCCTGCTGCCGCTCCCCTCTGCTGCCCCGTTCAGCGTCGCTCCCGCACCTCCCGTGTCCTCGGCATCATCGTCCAGCTTCGCTTTCTCGGTCCCAACTACCTGCGCCTCCTCTGCTCCTCCAGCTTTCTCCGTGGCGACAACCGCACCTTTTGGCTCCGGACCCTCCAGCTTCTCCTTTGCCAAACCTCCCTCTGATACTCCCTCAGCACCTTCAGCCTTTTCTTTCGCCCCACCCATCAAACCAGCAGCGGTGGCATCTCCACTTCCAACTCAGACACCCCAGAGTATTGCCGCTGCCTCCCCGCCAACAGTGAAACTGAATCTGGCTGATAGGTAACAGATTATATTTGATACCTTTTTTACACTAATCGTACTGGGACTCAAAGACTTACAACATATGTATTTTCATTTCCAAGGTTTACAGCATTGGAGACACCAGCACCATCTCCACAGTCTTTGTCCTTCAATCCCTCAATGCCCAAACCAGTGACCCCCATTTCCAGTAGTTTGACCGCCCCTCCACCATCAGCCGCTAAACCTCCAGCTGTAATGGGTAAGGAAGTCCAGCCTCAGTGCCTTTGCTTTATTCTTTGCACAAGTGTGTATGAGTGTACATGGCTTGGTTTGTGATATGAATCATGTTATGTGTCTCAGCTCCAGTGCGTCCAGTTCAAATCAGCACGCCCCCCACAGTCGTCCAGAAGCCGGCTCCTGCTCCTGCTGCACAGGGCCGCGTCCAAACACCACAGGTCATTGTTCATTATGAAGATTTGTTTGTGTTGACTAGACCGCTTTTCAATAGTGGTTGATATTTTGCTCAAAATATGTCGAGATAAATATATCCAGCAGAGGGACATGTTAACTGTGTCGTCACGGTAAAATATTGTTTGTGCAGAGTACCAAAGTTCGATAGATAAATATTATGAACAATCTCAGTGTCCTCACCATGTGTGTAGTGAGCTAAACAAGTGAATAACATAGGTTGAAGTTTTAAGAAGAAGCAATTGTTAAACTGTTTTGGATAAGAGTTTGACCACAATGGTTGTTGAGATGGTTCAGTACAGTAACAAGAAAACTAGCGAATGAGTGACGATATACCTCACTGTAACAATAAACAATAAATCACCAGCGAAAGAACAACATTTAGTCCTAACAGGATTAAAACCAAGATAATTGATATACTAATCATCCAGTCCTCTCTAGAGTAAAAGATACAAAATAGTCAAATAATGTACATATTATAGTACTATAACAATAAGCACAATGGTTAGCTTTTTAAGCAGTAAATTGACAATTCATAACTAAACAATCAAAAAACCTTTGAGATAATACTTCAACAATGGTATTAGGAAAATAAATAAAACATGTGAGAGGGTCGCAGTAACAGATCTGAGAAATTGTTGGATGTAGCAATGTCGGTTAAACTGCCACGGAACTGTGCCAGTAGCAGTTGCTACTAGCAACAGCATGTTCAATCTGAAATCAACTCTATGTGACAGAAGGAAAATGTAACTAAATCACATTACAGAAATGCTTGCAAATTGAATTTTTGCTTGAACTAACTTTGTGTGAACTAGTTGGTGTGTGTGTGTGTTTTTTTTACTGACTTTACTGTATTTTTTATTTATTTAATATGTTCAAAGCAGGCAGCTGTTAGTATCAAGGCCTTGGAGAAGCAGCTACAGCAAAAGAAAGACTTTGATCCAATTATGGTTGGCATATTTGAAGAGGTGAGTTTTATCAAACAGTACACGATGGAGGACGATGCACCACTTACTTTTTGTGACCTTGAAAGTAGCATGGCCAAAACTATATGTGAAAATACTAGCATAATGATTGCTACAAACTGCTAGCTTACTCAACTACATTAATGGACAGAACCAATGTCACATGAAGATATGACACATCCAGATTGAACAGTAAAAGAGATAATAAGGTCATCATATCTGGCACTTTTTTCAAAATGCTTTGTAATAACCAGGTAGACTACATTTCACAAAAATCTAAATATAAGTCAAACCATCATGCTAATATTTAATTCTCGGTCACGATTAAGATAGCGTTTTATGAATACCAAGTTTTGAAATCAGTCCTCACGTTTTTTTGTAATCTCTTTAACTTGTCATCAGATCGCACACTTCCAGAAGGAGTTAGATGATCTGAAGATTCGAAGCTCTAGAGCTGACTTCAAGGTCGGCACAAATGATGAGATGAAGGAGCTGAGGAAGGAGTCAGAGGACCTCCATATTTTCACCCTCGAGATAAAGGAGACAACAGAGGTAAGGACGCGTTTGGAAAACCAAAACATGGTGCTGGGAAACCCCAAATAGTTATAATAATGTTATTTCTTCAAAGAACATAATGACTTTTTTGATTACAGTATTTTAAATAGACATGTTTTTTTTTTCAAAAACAACAGCACTACAGCTAACTTTTGAATGTGGTTATAGTAGGGTATTACATCATGGCAAGCATCTTCTAATCTGTTTATTCTGATCGGCAGTCTCTCCATGGGGACATTGGTACACTGAAGACCACCTTACTGGAGGGCTTTGCTGGGGCAGAAGAGGCAAAGACCCAGAGTGAGCTGAGCAGAGACAGAAATTACAGACAGCTGCTTTACAAAAAACCTCTGGACCCCCGCAGCGAGGAACGACTCAAGGTGAAACATTTGCATAAATGAATACTTCTCATGAATCTTTTAAACCAATCACCTTCCCCTTCCCCTTCATAGCCTTTAATCAATTGTATTCCTTATGTAGGAGATACGAAGGCTGTACCAGTACATCATGTTTGCTGTGGAAGATGTCAATGATGTTTTGGATGTGGAATGGGAGAAACACCTGGAGAAAAAGAAAAAACAGAAGTAAGAAGCATAAAGAAATATTTTTGAAAATGTAATACTACAAAGATTTGGGGTATAATTTGCTAAAAAAAAATCATGATCTTCACAGACACATGGTCGTGCCAGGGCGTGAGGGTCTGTTCACTACGTTGGCCAACAACCTGTACATCATCAACCAGCAGAAGAACAGACTGGACCAGTTGGTCAAACAGCTCACTTCTCTGCGCCTCTACAACAAGACTACCGCTCCAACTATAAGCTGCAGTGCTGCTGCTGCAGAAACTGCTACTGGGTAAGAGCTGTAATGAGCAGTTTGGATGAAATAATGTTCATATATCTGGCATACATTTGTTTTATATCTTGAGTTTATTGTGAGAGAGAATACTGCGGAGTAGGTTTAGGAATCACTGACTTTATATATCAAGTTAACCTTGACTTGCATGGGCTAGAAATCAAATCTAGTAGTTTTGGATTAATTAAACTGAATAAATTCACCTTAGTTTTATTTGTTTTCATAATTTGATACGTAGAGTAAAAAGCAAATTGCTCTTAGAATCTTTTTTTTTGCAACTTTAACTACTTGTTTCTGTGTTTTACGACAGCTTGGAAAGCGAGATTGAGAGTTTAAGGGATGCACTCCTGAAAGCCAGGCTGGACACCAACCCTCCTATGCCCAAACCCAAGTCTCCAGGTATCAATGTTTAAATATTTTATAAATATGATTTATTAAATGATATCCCATTTCTTAATTGCAACATGTACTGACTGTAAATGTATCTCCCGCAGTCAAGATATCGCCAGTGAAACAGTCCCAGTTGCGTAACTTCCTCTCAAAGGGGCAGATGCCTCCTGTCCGCTCGACTGCACCAGGTACACATATCATCCTCAAACTCATTTCCACAAGTTACTCTAATATCCTGTGATGTTTGTTTTTGTAAATCTGGAATACTGACCAGAAAGGTGTGGTTGCCTGAAAACTTCCAAATGTATTTAAGCTTTACAAAAAATCCCAAAGGAAATCAAATGTTGGGTAAACTCCCATCTTACATCTGCTCTCTGATCACACAGAGAGTTGCAGGTAGCTATTGCCTGAGATCACATGATGTGGTTTTGTTACATGTGCCAAGTGCAAGGACTGACTTGGGTAACAAAGCTTTTATGTGCACAGCTCCTCTTGCTTGGAACAGTCTTCAAAAAGGTTTGAAACTGAGCAAATTGGTTCCACTGCCTGTTTTTAAAGCTCGGATAGGTGCAATGATACTTGATACTGTTGGTACTTGTCAATGTCTCTAGGTATGTAAATGTAGCCCTGAAAATACGATGTCCTTTTGTGTTATCTGTTGTTTTATGTTCATGTTGTAACCTACTTGCTGCCATGTTGGACAGGTCTCCCTTGAAAAAGAGATTAATGGGACCACCTGGTTAAATAAAGGTTTGAATGAAAAAATACCTGTCAGTCAAAGAAAAATGAATAATATTCACTTTAAAAGGTTTAAGAGTTGATTGTTTATTAATGTAAAGAGACAACTTGCTAACCTGTTAAATCAGGTATCAAGATACGCTAAAATAGAAGCAACATTAAAAAAAATCAATCGTATCCAATCTTCAATCAGCTTCTTGATGTCGATGAGATTCATGATGAGATGTTGACGTGATTACCGTGTTAAAAAAATTAGCATAATTCAGCTATAGTTGCACCGTTGTTTCTGTTCTAAATGTTCTTCATCTATTCTCTTCCAGCCAACCTGTCCCGCTCAGCCTTCCTGTCCCCTAAATACTACGAGGACTTGGACGATGTGAGCTCTTCGTCCTCCCTGTCCCTGGAGCCCCACCCAGCTGACTTGGAGATGGAGGAAGAGGAGCTACAGTTGGCACCCCTTCCCCTTTCTGTCCTTCCTCCAGCATTGTCCACCCCCCGCCACCCCACAGTCGTGAGGACCCCCTCTATCCAGCCAGGCTTCGGGGCCATCCAGTCCACCCCTTTGACCAAAATGCACTCAGTGCAGGGTTTGGGCTTTGGACTCAGCCCTATTGCCAGCCCTGGTGAGTAGATCACACTGTTAGAGCTGTCAGGCATTAACAACAATGAGATTTTAAATGTCACATGTAACACAGACCCTGTTCACACTTGATTTTAAAATGTGTCTTGTGTGATGAGCGTACAAGCGGACAGAGTTAAACAAGATTAACAACCACTAAAACATATCTCATCACTCGTACCTCTTGCCGTGGTACACTGGAACGTATATGACCATATATCTTTTGTAGTTAAGTATATTTTCAAAGCCAATGTGCTTCGTTTTGGTCTCCGGTGGTTCTAAAGTTGCATAAGATATATTTTGTAATTCAAACCTCTTGGAGTGTTTGGTCTGCCTGGAGCTCAGCAAGGTATAGACTCTGTCTGTCTGTTTTGAATTCTGCATGGGAAGCACTTTGCTGCCTCCTGCCAGTTAAAAACAAAAGCACATTTAGTCTTTGCACACCAATATAATGAATGTGTTAATTAGCAAATAGAGCGGGGAATTGAGATCCAATCACAATGTGTCACTCACTAGAGTCAAATCCAATACCAGGTGTGAACTGATGTTCTTGTTATTGGAAGACTAAAAAAGCAGTTTAATGTCAGGTGTAAACAAAGTCAGAGAATGCAGCTGCTTAAAACTAGTAGATATGCTTGGTTTTATAAATGTTGCTCTCTGTATTGATGTTTCAGTTCCGAGCAATAAGATTAACCTGAGCGGGGCTGATAGCACTGCCCTCGCCACAAAGACAGTGAAACATGGAGCCCCCCCGACTGACAGGAGCGTCCCCGCACAGCAGGCTGCAGCCACTGCCGCCCTACGCAGACAGATGGCCAATCAAAAGACAGGTAGGAAGAACATGCAGCTGTCACCGGCTTTTGAATGCAATTGAAAGTTATTATTTATTTTGAAATGTGAACAGAATAGGTTGTAATCGTGTATAAGAAGCTATTTGTAAAAAAAATGATTGCCATGCACACTGTAATTCACCAGGGGGAGACACATACTTCCAGAACAAAACATGTGAACCTGATAGCTTTACATCCCAGCACAGGGCTTGCCCCATCACACCTGACAATAACTTTGATACTGTTTCAATGTTATTCAAACCGTGCTAAAGTCACCATGGAAACATAACATTAATTTAAAATCACCTGTCGAGATGTTCTATTTTTAATATAATTTTTTTTGTTTTCCAGCCGTTGTCGGTGCATCCTTGACAGAATCCACTCTGAAGAACGTGCCTCAGGAGCTCAAGGACAAAGGGCCTCCCATGCCACAGTCCAATATCATCAGGTAAAAACAAAAGATTATATACAATTATGTTCAGGTATGTCAGATTTAGTTTGAGCTATGCCATGATATCTACTTAAGCGACAGTTCGTTTCTAGTGTAAATACAGGGGAACTTTTGGACCAAGAAAAACAGTTGGTAAAGTTTGTTAAAGCTTCAATATCAGGATGCGTCCTTTGTGATTTTCATGCATTTTAATTGATATTCTATACAGTTTCTCATTGGGGATAATAAACACATTTTGTATGTATTTGTCTTATCTATATAGTCCGTCACATCTATATTTCCTGTCTAATTAACATCTTGTGTACTGTATATATATATATATATATATATATATATATATATATATATACAGTACACAAGATGTTATGATTTGATGCTATATATATATATATATATATATATATATAGCATCAAATCATGCCAGCATCCACTTGGATCTATTTCTGATTCAGTGAGTAGACACTGTGTCTCGTAGCCTGTGTCTGTCACTGCGAGTCCTCGAGGGTCCGGTGTTTGTTTAGAGTGTGTCTCCCTGGCCCCGATTTATCAGGTCACTGATTCCACCTAATCTTAGCCAGTGCACACAACTGGCAGATGCCAACAGTCTTTTATTGTAGAGCTAGGGCTGGTAAAAAAAAAAAAGGTCAGATGAAAGTCAATGCTGACTATAACCTTATTTTTTACTGATTAATTTAAAAAGACAATTTGTTGGGGAAACAGTTGAAAACACAGCAGTGTGAATATTTAGACTGGATTGTCTCTTTTTTTTTCATTACCCCGCTCACTTTGCTTTCTTCATGTCTTTTATTAAGCTCTTTATTCATTCCATGATTCACAGTCTCTTGTTTTCCCCCTTCCAGTCTCTTGCACTTCACTCTTTCTGCTTCACTGGGCTGTGCTCCACTTTTTTTGCTTGATATTTCACAGGCCATCCCTCCTTGAGGCTTTTTTTTCCAGATAAAGCCTGCTTACAATAACAAACAAACCAAGCAAGGCATTGTGAGAGTAAAATCATAATGACATTTGGCCTCGATTTTGCACGAATATACCTTTTTTATTTGATAGTACCAAAATATTTTACACCTTTTTCTTCAAATGATTACCAGCTTGATGTATTTTCTTTTACCTAAACAAAATAATTACAAAATAAGTGTTCCCAACAATTTAAGAATTCTTCGTTGTGAACATTTTGCTGAAATGTACACCTTAATTGTAAATAAACTGTAATGTTTCATATGGAAAACAAACACCTAACCCTTTTTCTCCTTCCGATCTCTTCCCCAGCTCATCAGCAGGAGACTCAGGAGCTTCGGTCTTTTCAACAGTTTCGTCTCACCAGGCCAAACGAGTGAGTACAAAACCTATCCATCACTCACCAAGCTTTTCCTTTCTCTTGTCAAATCAAACAGTTATATTACTATAATACAAATATTTTGAAAGGCTCAAGTCTTATTTTTTAAGAATCAATCAAACATTGATGAAGCATATGAAAATGATGTCAGTAGATGTGGAAATGTCCAAGTTTCGACTGAATAGCGCAGACACCCATACATGTGTTTTTATCCATATACATGCTTTTACTTAAATACACAAACATTAAACTCAGTATTCTAGTCCCTCTCCGTGCAATTTTAAAGAACATTCAACTTGCAAGATTTCACAGCAGGCTGACAGGTTTGCATGTGAAGACAGACCATTAACAGCACTGGTGAGAAATGTCCCAGCTCCCTCCCATGTTGATGTTACAAATGGCAGTTAGGTGACAGGGGAACTCCTTGGACAAATCTCGGTCGCTGTTCAGGCTCAAGTTCAACTGAATGGGAATGACCCAAACATACTCAAGCCTGTGCTGTGACATGTAGCACTTTGTTTGCATACACATAATGGTATTAAATGTTATTCTGCATTATGGTTTTGCACAATACCCAATGTATTTCCTGTCTGTGCAGAATCCTAGCCAAGGTTTCCAGAAGATGTCCAATGAAAGCAACCCACAGTCGAGCTTTGTGTTTGGTAAGCACCGCCTAGACATCGTGCTTAGTATACACACGATTCGTCATCCTTATTGCCCAGATTTGTTTTCTATGAATGCATGAAATACTTTAAAGATCACTGCTTATAGTTATTAACAATATGTACAATTTTACACCTTATCTGATAGATCTTTATTTACTTTAAATAATGTTGTCTTTCAGGTCAATCATCCAAAACAGAGGCTCCAGTGGCTCCTGCTAGCACCGCAGAGCAAAACACCAGCAAATGTTTCGCCTTCGCATCAGGGTGGGTCAACTTGGGAAAATTAAAGAAGCATTCAGAAATATATAAAACGAGTATACAAATAGTTTATTTTATATTTATGAACATAAGAGTCTCTTACATGTTCAGAAATGTATTTGTTGTTTAGACCAAGTAGAAAGTCAAAGTCTCAAAAACATTTAAAACATTTTGAATATTATCAAAACCCCTCTCTCCTGGCATTGCACTTGACCACTAGCTTGTGGGTAGCACAAGTAGCAAAATATCAACTTTTCCAATTATGATGTCTCCCTCTGTCCCTGACTAATAATCTGTGGGTGTGACTATCACTATCAAATCAAATCAAGTTTTATTTATATAGCACATTTAAAAGCGATTTTTGGTCGAGCCAAAAATGCTGTACATGTAATAAAAACACATTACTACAATCACAATAAATTAGGGCTGTCAAGTTAACGCGTTAATAACGCGTTAATAACGCGTTAACGCAAAAAAAAATTAACGCCACTAATTATTTTAACGCGATTAACGCATGTGTATTTTTTGTCCTCGGCCGCCGTAGTTTCAGAGCGCATCGAGTGTAAAATACCATCGACAAGCTGATGCTGACAGCCTCGCTCCTGCCGCCCGCTTGTGGCAGACCACACTTCCACGCTCACCGGCAGGCCCGGACTGGCCATCGGGAGGACCGGGAGGGAGTGTGTATGTGTGGCGCGACTCGCGTGAGCGAGGCACACCTTACGTGTTGTTGTTGTTAGCATCTGGTGCTAGCTAGCTGCGCTAACGGATTTAAGGAGCTGTTTCAATGACATTTCGCCGACAACTGCGCCGAGCACTTGACTTTATGCAGGTAGCCAGACAGTGGGACATTGTACGAAAAGTCAGCGCACTCAGCACGGATCGTACGCGCAACATGATTGCAGCGTCCAGGCAGCTCCCATTCGAGCATATATGCCTTGAGCTGCACATAGCTCCAACGATTCATCACAGTGTCTCCACACACACACACACACACACACACACACACACACACACACACACACACACACACACACACACACACACACACACAGTATTATTGTATGAGAGAGGTTCCAGGTTGAATTGAGGCGAATATTTGTAATGTTCAGAGGTTGTTGTGTTTAATATTCATGAGAATATTTGTCATTGTTCAAATGATAATAAACAAACATATAAAGCATATTTGTCCACTCATATGTTGATAAGAGTATTACAAACTTGAAAGATATCCCTCTAAGGTACATTTAGAACAGATAAAAAAATGTGCGATTAATTTGCGATTAATCGCGATTAACTATGGACAATCATGCGATTAATCGCGATTAAATATTTTAATCGACTGACAGCCCTACAATAAATACTATGATACAACTGTGTTCCCTTGTTCCAGTTTGAAATAAGTTACATCACAGAAGAAGAAAAACACATACTTTATTATTCCTACAAGGGGAAGTTCAATATTCACTTGGTTGTTACAGTATATACAGTACACCGGAAATACACACATGCACAAACACATGTAGTAATCAAGAGGTGTCAGAGCAGTTGGGGGTCCGGTAGCTTGGCAAGGCTGAGGTGGTAAACTAGTTTTTTGTGGTCTTATCAGGGACTGGAACCCTGTCACCATCCAGTTTCCAAGCCAGGATGCTCTTACTGTTGGTTCATTCAGACTTTAATTTATTTTGCAGGGCCACTGGCTTCAGTTTTTCTTCTGTTACACCGGCAGCTGGAGTGCCACAAGGTAAGCAAACAATAAAGTAGCTTTGTAGCGGATAGTTATGAGGACGATGTCATATGGTCACACATTCAATGACTTTTGTTTATGTCTCTCCAGTTAACGATGCGAATAAATTCTCCTTTGGTGGAAATGGTAAGATGATGTTTGGCCAGTCGGCAGAGGAGCCATTCTCCCTCACCCCAAAGTCCCCCTCCCCTGCTCTCGGCACCGCCTCCCCCACCCTGCCCCTAAACATGCCAGGAGACAAACCGGCCCTGAGGACAGAGCCACAGCCCCTGAAGCCCATTGGGGGGGAAACTCTGGGCATCTTCTCTGGACTACGTGTGGGCCATGGAGAAGAAGCCCAGGATGCATCCGCCAAACCCACCGCTGGCTCATTTAGCTTTGAGGAAGCTGGACTCGGTCTAGGCAAGGGAGCGGCGCAGTTTAGCTTTGCTCCAGGCCCACAAAAGTCTGCAGACGATTCTGCAGGAGCGGACCTGTCCAAGGGGGCAGCGTCGGGGAGTTTGTTCAAGCCCCCTGAACAAAACCCCAAGCCGGCCTTCTCCATCCCTCAGTCCGGTTTAACGGCCTTGGCTTCACCTACGTCTTTCAGCAGTCTTCTTGCGGCTTCTCCAGACCCTTCAGAGGAGCTGAAAGGTTCCCCACCACCTTATGAACCCACCCCACCTCCAGCTGTAGAGAGCCCCAGCCCCCCTGCAGCCCCCGAGCCTGCAGAGGATGCAGCTGCCACAGAATCCACAGCGATTACAGCACCATCGCCCTCACCTCCTTTGGCCGCAACCTCCCCGCCCCCATACCCTCCCTCCTATTTCACCGTCCCAGCTGATGCAGTCCCACCAGCCAGTGCGGCTCCCACAACAGAAGCCCCCCCAGACAGCACCACGACCGCTAGTCCTGTGCCCACATCTGCTGCCCCCGCCCCTGCTGTAGCACCCACCCCTGCTGTAGCTCCAACAGCCTTCCAGGTGCCCAGTTCTGACAAACCAGGCTCCATTTTCACTCAAACGACCCCCACAATAACGGACAGCAGTTCCCTCGGAGCTACACCAGTTATCAGCACAGTTGCCGCTGCGGGCACCACCCCTACCTCCACTGTTGTTAGCACAGCTACTACTGCTAGCACTGTGTTTGGGCAACCTGCTGCCCCTCCAGCTTCCTCTGCCCCCCCAGCTTCCTCTGCCCCCCCAGCCCCCTCAGCCCCAGGGTTTGGCTCAACTGTGTTTGGTACACCCTCTGCACCTGGTTTTGGAAATTCTGTGTTTGGCCAGGTGAGTGGCTTCGGCCAACCTGCCACCAACACTGAAACACCTGGCGGCTTTTCTTTTGGCCAATCTGCATTTGGTGCGAGTTCTAACAGCGCAACTACTGGAGGAAGTCTCTTCGGTGCCGCCACTGCCACCAATGCCAGTTCCTTCTCCTTCGGCACGAGCAGCGCCAACACAGCCAGCAGCACCGGGTCAGGGCTGTTCGGACAAACCACAGCACCGGCATTTGGCCAGAGCTCTGGATTTGGGCCAGGGCCTGTGTTTGGGAGTAACACCACCACATCTTCATCTACAGGATTTGGATTTGGACAGCCCTCAGGTGAGAGTGAGTCTGCACTTTTAGTTCTTAATGCTCACTTGTAAAATATGATTCTTAAAGAATAGAGATGTCCCAATTCCCAGTGAAGTTTATTTGGCTTTGATCCCAATCATTAGATGTTGTTAAATGTGTGTGTTAAACATGGAACTAACAGCGTTGGTTACTATATTTAGCATATTTTATTTTATAACAAGGTACAAATACTTGAAGTTCTGGCTCAAAACTATTAGTTTAAAGATTATTGATATGTATAAAAACTGGAAATGTAACTCCTGAAGTGACACAATCAGCCAGAGAGAAGATTTATCTCCCTGTTGGATTTGTCCAAATGTTTTATTTTTTCATTTTTCTTCCATGTTTATGACTTAACAAAGTATAGTATCAATTTCACTTGAATGGCTAGTGCTAAACTGAACCTGACACAACTCATTACATTAATGCACCTCGAAACAGTATCTTGAGTACTATATTCATATAGGAAATCATGTGGCCGTTTTGTAGGAAAATGACACATTTTAGGTTTGTCACGTAATTGGGTATGCACGTTTCTCAAAATTAAATTCAATCAGCTGTAAAGACAAGTCGGGGATGTTGTCGTCCCTTCAAAGCGGTGTTAAATGTCCTAATGAGAACTGACCATCTACAAATAGTTAAGTTGTGTCTGACAATATTTAAGCTCACAACCTCAGCTAACCCCTTAATTGTATTATGGGCAGTGGGCTGTAAAGGCTGTAAGAAACATTCAACTCATTTAGCGGACCAGCCCACACATTTGGAGGGATTGAAGGTCAAATGTTACACTTTTTTTGATCAAAAGACCATCATCACCCTTTGATATACTGCCTGCCTGGCTGGGGGTGTGGGGCTGGCTCTGATATTTGGGGGGGGTGGTGCAGCAGTCTGAGTAACAAGGGTGGCATGAGGGGAGTAGTCCCATTCCAAAAGATTCTCTAAATTCCCCACACAGCGTGGGAATGTCTGGGACTCTGGGACAGCTGACGGAAATGTATCTGCCCAGCAGTAAAACACAGTTTGTCACATTTTTAAGGGGGGGGGGGGCTGAGTTCCCAGAGCTGACTCATTCTGTTTGACACTGGAGGAAAATAATTAAAATATTCATTCAGTGGTGACTGGAACATTTAGGTGGCATCATTGGCTACGTGACATCTAGTAGTGCATTGTTATCAATGTGTCAGTCATGACTGGATTTTTCTTCTCTCTCTTATTACAGCTTTTGGCTCTGCTGCGGCCCCTGTGTTCGGCCAACAATCTAGCAACGGAAGTGTATTTGGACAGGTATAATCCACTGATTTATTTATAGTAACCAATAAATAGAACTGTACAAAAAAAAACATCTGGACACATTGTAAAACCAACATTTATTTCGCAGCAGCAGCAACAGCAACAGCAGCAGCAGCAACAACAGCAGCAGCAGCAGCAGCAGCAGCAGCAGCAGCCATCGTCTGGTGGCAATCTGTTCGGCTCAAGTTCAGCCAACGCAGCGGGACAAACCGCTGGACTCGGATTCTTCTCTGGACTCGGAGGCAAACCCAGCGAAGAAGCTGCCAACAAGAACCCATTCGGCACCGGTGCTTCCCCCGGAGGGTTTGGGCAGCCTGCTCAGACAGGTAGAGTAACGCAATCTGAAGAAAAACAAATTGCTGACCCTTCTGTTAGCATATTGTTGATTGAGTGGTACTGGAAGCTAATTGGTAACAGTACAAGAAACAAATCCTAATTTTACTGTCCGTGAAAGACACATGTATCTGTATATGCATTTCCTCTGTAGGTGCCCCCTCTCTGTTTGGGACTAGCAGTGCCAAGTCCTTTGACTTTGGGCAGAGCACCTTTGGGGAGCAGAAACCCAGCGGGACCTTCACCACCGGGGCAGGGAGTGTCGCAGCACAGGGATTTGGCTCCTTCTCATCTCCGGCAAAATCAGGTACATCTGCTCATATTGCTTTGTATTCTCATAATACTGTGGTTTTTCACTCCTTACTGTCATTCACTGGCAGTTAACGTTTTATTCAGATAAATTATAATGCTGACATTTTCAGACCAGGCTTGTTTCCATGTGCGCCCCTTATCATAGGGATTCATTTTCTTAATTAAAATTGAGCAAAAGGCCTAACAAATGTAAACAGTTCTGGTATTAGATCATAATTTCACGCTTACACACATGTATCTGGATTAGTGGTGTTTGGTTTTCTCTGTTTGACATGTTTGGGGTCTGGCTCAGAGGCTCTGGGTTAGTGATGTGTGAGGATCAGTGATAGTGCGGTGACTGTAATAGAAGCACCTTTACAAAGTCGACTTTTACACATCAGCTGACTGTTGACATTGCATTCTCCTTTATCACCTGAGCTACAGCAAGTGCCCTTATCTCCTCGCCCCAGCAGAGCAGGGAGTGAGGCAGTCTGGCATTACCTGCCACAGTACTGCTGATGCATGTTACCTCTAACAGTACTCGCAGTACTGCTGCATATTTCAAACACAGAAAGTGTCACATTATCTCTTTTAAGATCGATTGTTTTCAAGACTGCCATTCAATGGAGATGCGTGGTTTATCAAATTATCGGAAAAGGGTCATCCCAGTTTTTCTAAATCCAATGTCATGTTTATAAATGTAAACTATATCTATATCTATGAAGCTGAAAAAAACATTTTCTGCCATTTGGTTCATTTGGCTTTGGTTGATTATTTAGAGTGGATCAATTGCAAATGAACTAGCTGTTGAGCAAGTTTAAGCAAATAGATAACTTAGATTTTAAAATTGAGCTTCTGTCATTTTTAAATGTCTGGTTACAAAAACGTCTGTGTTGACGTCCAAGGTATCATTTAGCTGGGATATTGGTAATACTTGGCTCTCTCGTGCCCTATCACTGGTGAATGTAGAGGGAATGTAATCTTGTTACATTAGCTCAATCAATTATTTACTGTGGCATGCTGCTGGCCAGGCTGTAATTTCAGAACTCTCTTTCTCCCCTACCACTCCCACCTCTGAGGCTCTGAGCTGGTGTGAATATCCTGTTTTCAACCTGTTCCCAAACATACTTCACTGTACACAAAAAGACACAATATCCTTACTGCATTTGTCATGGTCAGACATTTTCTTGGGAGATACAGTAGGGAAATGTATTCACTTATATAAGAAATGTCATTAAAAAACATTTGTATATCTACTTACGTGTGTACATGTATTACCCTTTAGGTAGTGTCAACCCCTTTCAGAACACATGTGGACTATTGTAGTGTAGTAATGTAGTTATTTCATATATTTACACAGGCGTCCAAGCAGAACTGTTCAGCCTTGTATGAAAAGAAAACCCCCTCCACATAGGTGAAATATCCTGTAACTAAGCTGAAGAACCCTTTGAAAAATATATATTTTCTTTATATAAATAGTGCTGAGGCCGGTGTAACTCCCCATATGTTCCACTGCTTTCTGTTACAAAACCTTTTTAAGGCCTTATCCATTTTCCCTCCTACAGGTGGTTTCGGCAGTGCTCCGGTGTTTGGGAGCCCCCCTTCCTTTGGGAGTTCCCAAGCTTTTGGTGGTGGAGCATCGTTCGGATCGACCCCTTCCTTCGCCAACCCCATGGTCCCCTCCGCTAGTAAAGTGTTCGGAGAGGGAACAACGGCCTCCAGCATGGGAGGGTTTGGGTGAGAAACTTAATAATAAACTCTGTGTGTATATAAGTAATACAAATATACAACATTGGTCATTTATTGAGAAATAAATGCATTTTTTTATGGAATATATCTGGATGCACTTGGCAATATGTAAAATCAAATTTGACATTTTGTCTAATTTGCATTGGCATTCAGATGTTTACTTTGAAAATACTGAATGTCAGTTTCACCAGGTTTTTTTTTTTTGCAGGGGGGGGGTGTATAGGAGCAGGATTTTGCTCGCAGGGTGAAGCAGCTTTTTTTGGGAGTCAGAACATCTGTGTTCTCTCTCTCTCCTCTCTCTCTCTCTCTCTCTCTCTCTCTCTCTCTCTCTCTCTCTCTCTCTCTAGCTTCCGCTCCCTCTCTCTATGCCGATCGTCTCTCTCTCGCTATATCTCGTATCTCTCTCTCTCTCTCTCTCTCTCTCTCTCTCTCTCTCTCTCTCTCTCTCTCTCTCTCTCTCTCTCTCTCTCTCTCTCTCTCTCTCCGTGCACCGTCACTAAGAGTAAGACATAAGGCAAACGGAGATTAGCTTTCACATTGTTAAACCATGTATTGACATTATAGTGGTGATGTGATTCAAATTCAACAAATCAGGACATTTTTAAAAAGCCCTCCTGAAACTTTATTAATTGAATAAGGGAGAATGCTTTCACACTGTCATACACACACACACACACACACATATTTTCTTCTCACCTCACCTGAAAAGACTTTCAATTAAAATCTGAATTAAACGTTCTGGAAAATGTTTTTTTTCCTCCCTCCTTTAATTCCCACTCTAATTCTCCAGATTATTTATTTATTGATTTTCTTTCTGCGTTGTATTACAGAGAGCACAGCTTTGCTCCCAAAACTATGCAGCTCTGTGCAGAACGGCTCGATTATTCCACTCATAATCTCACTGCGGGTCAGGCTGCCTGCAGATTAAACTTCTCTCTCTCTCTCTCCCCCCCCCCCCCCCCCGTTTTGCTTATTCTCCCTGTTCTCTCCCTCAGAGTCCATGGGTGGGATTATCGCTTAAACCCGTCTCTCAATCCTCACTCTTACACACACACACACACACACACATACACACACACACACAGTCTGACCCCTTCTGGATGGTAGCATCAGTAATTTCTCACTTTTATCTTCTTTCTTAGTAAAAAGACATTATAAATGAAGCAGGGCTGTAAAATGGGATTGAGCCGCATGGTTTAGTGTTTGTCACACACCCCTTAAAATATGAAAATAATTAAAATGTTGTTGTTAGCAGTTGTAGCCTCTGGTTACTCCTACCACGTCACAACATTTGTGTCTGCTTCTGTTTTCAGGTTTGCCTCACCACCCAGCGGCCCATCCTTTGGGTCCCTAGCCAGTCAGAGCGCTCCGTCGTTCGGGGGCCTGGCCCAGCAGAGCCCTGGGTTTGGGACTCAGCCCAGCAGCTTCTCCGGCTTTGGACAGCAGCCACAACAGGCGGGAGGTGAGACTACTGCTTTAGAGGCTCTGTTTGTCCCTATTCTTCCCTCATCATCATCATCATCATCTTCAAATGTCCTTGCCAGCACTTCTACATAGTGTATGCTGCAGTCAGTGTCTCGAGGGTACTTGGTATGCAGTCCTCCCAACATGAGTACAGTTGAATAGTTATGACGACTCAGCATTTTTTACCTTTTGAGATCAGACTTTCCTTCTTTTCATCTTACAGTACATTTGACTTTACCTTCCACTACGCATTGACACTCACATTTTTTAGATGGTGATTCACCTTTGCTTCCTTTCTTCCTTTTTAGGCTTTTTCATGAATCATATACGTACTGTAAATCACACCATCCAACTGCACCCTTCATATATTTATCTTTCTGTGCCTTTTCTGTCTCTATCTTCCAAAGTCCTTTGTAGCAAAGCTTTGCCTGACTCAGGGTTTACGTACACAGCACCATAGATGTGTTTGTTATGGATGACTCATGCGTTGAAATTAAATTGCATTGGTTGTCTGTTTTCGTATATTTGATTGCTGCAATCGCCCAACTAATCCCTTTCTTCTTTTTTTTTCATTTCCTAGGATTCCCCGGGCACACAAACACCTTTGGGTCTGCTAACCAGTAAGTTATTTGTGCGGGAATACAGACCCACATGTCTCTCCTCCCTGTCAGCAGCGCGCTGTGTCTGTAGTGAAGTTCAAATATCTTCAACAGCCCGATTCCCCACAGACCCTTTCTGAATGAATTCTTTGTCTCCTTATTCGTTTAGAGTCGGATTCTCTTTGTTGCTATTTCCCCGTATTGAATTAGGGAGGGGAGGAAATGAATGATTTATTAAAGCTTGCCTTAAAAGATGATCCAATAAATAAAGCAATAAACAGCGGCCCATACTAAATATAAATCAGTCTGACCCCTGTGGAAGACGATGTCCCTGAAACGGGTGGTGCATGAATGAATGCTTTAGTCCAACTTTCTTACTAATTGCCCCCTTGTGATTACATTTTCATTTTGCTGCTGCGTGTCACATGGCGGCCATGTTCCCCGGGGGGTGTTCCAGTGGAATGCCCTGTGAAGTGTGCAGGCGTGTGTCGAGGGCGGGCGCAGCCTATTGGACGCATTCCCATGTTGTTAATAATCCTCCTCTCTGTCGTTTTTACTCATTTCTTTTGGGACTTTGTCCAATAGTACATTCATCCTAATGCTTATTGTGTTTCTTTACTAAGCTGGGATGCTTTATTGGATTGCATTAATAGTTTTCTCTTGCGAATATGCAAAACAGGTTGCTTTAATTGATAACTGACACTCAAAACATTTAAAAAACATTTTGACGCACATCTTAACAGCCCACAAAAAAGAAATAAGACAACCGGTTATCAGAACTTATATTTCCAACCTAAATCCATTGTGTTCAACATCTTAATATATGAAAAAACACATTAGGTGTGTATTTGTGTGTGTATCTGTACAGCTCTACTGTGTGTTTGTTTGTCCTTTCTTCCTATACTCTTCTTTTAAAAATCTAATTTGTGTTCCAACCATTTTATTAAATCATCCTTATGTTGACAGAAATATCCAGATCCAATATGCAGTATTTTAATAACAGCACCATAACATCAAAAGGAGAATTGTAAAGCTCTTGTTGTAAATCTTATAATAAAACTACCACTGGTGGCTTTTCAAGCATTGAAACTCTTTTTCAATAATCTCTCCCTCTCTGCTTTGTCTGTCATTTCTTCTTCCAGATCAAGTGCTCAAACATTTGCCAGTTGGAGAAGCTAGTTTTATTAAAGCTCCACGTCACTGCTACAGTACTTTCTGCAATCAAGCTCAGTGTGCCACATAATGGGTAAAGAGAGAAGAGTGTGTTGCATTCGAGTCAAATAAAGGGAATTCAAAGATATACTACCTGTTAAAACCATAGACTGTATAAAACAAGCTCACCGCCTTCTTCAGAAAATATAGGACATTGTAACTCGCTGATGCAGTTTACAGAATTGTCCTTTGTTTGTTTGATTGTTGGTTAATTTTTTGTCCAGCATTTTTAAGTTTTTGTTTCTGCACTTTTAAACATATACACATTAACCTAAAATCATTCAAGCGTCTGAACAGTTGACACTTCCTTTTCATTTTTGGAAATTGTGTTTTCAGCATGGCTAAACAAATTCAGATGCAAGTAGTTTCTCTCAGTAGTCATGTAGATTTTATTAAATTCCAAAGAATTGTGATCTAAGGTGAAAAAGTTATATTTTCATTTTCAAATGCAATTAATCCCCGCTTGATGTATATTTTTACATGAAAACATGGAAATAAATGACATTTCTCAAATTATTTGTCTATTCAAAATTGTATTTATTAAGCAGTCATCATAATTTGAAAGGCACAAAGCTAAAAGCATTAAAAAAAGATCTAAAGCCTGCTCATTAGAGAACTGAAACATAATTTCTCATACTTTATACTTAGGTTTTCCGCCATTTGATTGGGCTAAAGATTCACAAACCCTTTTCTAAAACATCTTGACATGCATTGAAACAGCATTTCACAGTTGACTCTGCTCAGTATTTCCTTAACAGAGAGGAACATGTGAAACCAAACCCAGTTTAATATGAGGTGGCATGATGAATAGCATGGCAGCCCGCCTGAGGCCCTGTGTACACGGTTCACTAATTAATGCTAATTCCTTGATATGCAGCTCGTTCCTCCGTCTTCAGTCTGGAATCCATTGACTGGCATTCAGAGCTAAATCAGGCTGCGGGAGAATGCTGATGAGGAACTCGTATCAGAGCTTCCATGTTGTGGCATTTGGCCACCATCGAAAGAATTACATTCCCGGCTTATGGCTGTGGAGCATGTCCCTGTCACTCCATCCATCCTTATCTCGCGCTCCAGCGGACGGGTGGTGGAGGTCCTGATCGTGGGGAAGTGGGCACGGGAATGTCGGGGTCATAACATGTGACCTGAACCCGCCCAAATGGTCCAATCCACATTCCCCAATAGACTTTAATAGAAATCAACAGTAATCTACCTGCTTAAGCTTTGAAGATGAGAATAATAAATGGCTATTCATAAATTATATATATATTGTTTAAGCAGTGTGTACATGATCACAATTCTGTTTGATCAGTACCCCGCTCTTTGATGTCTCAGGTAAAGAATTACAGTTGGCCGATTTAAAGAGGCACACGGGCAGTCACAGAGCCCAAAGTCTGTAATGCTGTCAGCTAAAGCGGATGAGCTTATGAGATTTCCAGCACCCACCCTGCGACTCGCCTCGATGAAAGGCAGAATTTTAAAATATATTTTAATAGAAATTCTCCAAAGTGACACTACGTTTTTTCTTATTGTGTCACTGTTCCTGGTGATGGGAACGCTCACAGACACCCGCAGGGATGGCAGCTGTCTTCATGGAATCCAGATAAAAATAGCTTAGTCAAAATCACCTCTCCCCTTCCCCAAACCCCTCCTTCAATATCTGTTCTCCCTCCACACCAGCAGTGAGTGATGATACGCACATCCTGCCTAGTTTTGCAGACATACCCATTATCTCTGCATGTGGTACTGCCCCTCCCTCTCTTTGGGGTCATCAGGCCTTTCTTTCCCCAGTGGTTAATGCTGGGTCTGGTCACTCAAGGGTCTCCCGTTCACGAACCAGCCAGGCTGTTCAGGTCACAGATATTGTGAGTTCAGTGTTATCCCATTTGTGAGCACTAGCCCCTCTGGAACATCAGGCTACAATCATCCCTAATAGGTTGTTTTGTCTGCCCAGATAATCCAAAGCTAATAGTGGTGTTTCTCTCCTCTGTGCTGAGTGACAGTGCTGCACTGCGGGTATAAGCCCTACCCTTGTTTGGAGAATGGAACTGTTGTAAAAAAAGTTTAACAGATTTCACAATATTTAATACATTAAGATACATAATCTGTAATATATGACATATTGGCAAATTCAAGGTTTTTAGCCATGCTAGTAGTATCACTTTTTAGGTATGGAAATGGTGGCTTCTCTCATGCTTCAACACTTTGTTCTAGACTGAAATATCATATCACCTTTGGCCTGTCATATATGTTTACCTGACAAGAAACAAGCCACTATAATTGACCATTTTCAAAACAGATCACTGCTAAAAAATGAAATCACGTGACAATGTTTGCTATACAGTTATGTTGCTTTTTCTTTTTGAGTCTTTGTCTGCAGGTTTAGAAAAAAAGCTTTGGGATTTTTGAGTGCATCAGAATCCCAAAGCGATACACAAAACCATTTTTTCACATTTGATAATGTTTATAGATCGGGCATTTTGCCTTGCCGTGTTTTTTTTTTATGTATTGCAACTCATGTTTGTCTCTTCTTTAACTGCTGACAGACGGTCCTTGGGGTACTGGTATTAAGTTTCAGAATGTAAGGGCATGATCACGTTGTATGCCAGTATTCACGCTGAAATGCCAACGCAGAGCTTTGAGCATTATATTGGCACTGACATTACCATCATGCATAATAAATAACACCCGGGCAGCTACAGCAGAGTCTCTCCCGACCTCAGAACCTACCTGCCTGAGATCCTCTTCTTTAACTCTGTCTTTAACCGACTCCCAGGGATTACCCAGTTCAGTGTCCTTACTTATCCTGATACTTAGAAGCTTTATAAGAGACTTTTAATTTAAATCAACCCTCCTTGAGTGTTCATAGTGTACACAAAGTATCCAGATAAAGAGCCCTGCCTCTGCAGAAGAACTGGACACTCCCTCTCCATTTACATGAGACAACATGAACAGGTGCTTGCAACAACAATTTCAACACTTGCACTGCATGTGAACGGATTACTCAGAACGGGCTTAAAGTATTAACTAATGTACTTGATCGTGGATGTCAGGCATTATCATAGATGTTAGGGGGAAGGCTAGCATCACCAAAACAACACAGGGATGGCCTGTAATTTATAAAAACAACACTTTTACTGAAGCAATAGATAGATAGTACTTTATTCAATAAGGCAATGTACATAAGAGAAATTAAGACACTAGAAGTAAACAGTCCAAAAGAATTCTGAACTAGTAATAAAATAGCATTACAAAAATACAAAATTTGACATGTGGGAATACACATTTCCAGTAACAAATATAATGCAGGGTATTACAATAACTATGACGAAGCCATAAAACATGTTATAATGTTTTTCACAATTCCTTATACTACTTTCCCAACAATACTTTCTAAAATGAGACATTGAACTCCACTAGGAGAAGGGAAACAGATGCCATGTTGGAGTGCATACCTTGTTTTGACAGTATCCTGAGGGCACTTGAGGTTAGATGCTGTTTTTCTGGAAGTGTTAGAGCTGAGCCACAGCTGGCTGCAGAGCATCACCTCTACATTTCCCACTCAGGTGCGCATTCCCCGCCTGAGCCTAAGCTTTGGTTTCAGTCGTCACTCTGGTTTCATCACCCTTGTCAGAACTGACCCCGAAAGTAACTATTGCTGAACCTCTTGAGGTATAGTTTAACTTGTGGACTTCCATTCATTAATATCCCTTTGAGAGTGTTTCCGTTTGAATCTCATTCCACACTTATCTGATTTGCTGAATAAAGGACTTTTCACTTAGCGAGCAGTTTAAATGCATCTTAAGCCCTGCTGGTGTCAGCAGATGTTCACCGCAGCCCAACTGTGTGGAACATAAATGAACGAAATACATAATTGCCCCCAGAAATATTCCCTTTCCACCCCCGTTTTTGATCATCCATAAAATATAAAAGTCTTTTGATGAGACTTTGCAAATGATTCAGCACATACAGGGGGGGGTGCTGTGTTTGTCCTGCAGCTCTTTGGTCTTTTTACCTACATTGCTAAATTCATTGCTTTATTGCATAAGAGTGATTGTAAAACAGACACACAGATTTATAGTTCAGTGTCATTATCTAAGAGTATGTTTGTTTTAACAGGCATGTCGCCAAACTACCCGTAACCGCTGGCTTACTTTCTTATTGGTCGAAGAGGATAACAGACTCCGGCTCACTAAGCTTTTGCATTAATTACATCTAAACATGTGGGTGACGTCCAAGTATGCCAGCCAGCGTCTGTTTCAGCCTCCTATTGTAACATGGCTTTAGCTCAATAAGAACAGGTTTTACAATGATCACAGCAATAACCTTTAACCAGGTAGGAAAATATAATTAACATACAGAAAAACTTGTGGGTAATGTTACATATGTATATAGGAATATTTCAATAGAATTCTACAGAATTAAACAAATGAAATGCATGTATTAACCTTATAATCGTTTCCTTTAATGTAACATTATTTGAAACGCAATTCGTTAGATGATCATTTTGTATTAACGCACCCTTATAAAAGTGTTTTTAGTCACAGCTCATGGCTTTATGAATTGTTATTAAGTGACTTATTAATGCTTTAAATATCACTTGTTGGGTTAAATGGTTGAACAGATGTTGAAAACCTGATGTTTAAAACCAATTATTTATTGTAATCATATCAATTATGAAGTAAGATAAACAATTTATTTATTTAATCGTTTATTTGAGGAGGGACAATGCATATTGATGAACATTTAAAACAAATAATGCTTTAAAACGTAAACATGCCAGATTTGAGCTTTGAGCTCATTTCCATCCGTAGTCCCTCACATACAACATTTAAGAACCTGACATTTATATACATAGCAAAAATAAATACATGATATGCAGAAAGAGCATGAGCAGCATATAAGTATTTACCACATGGCAGTACAATGTAGCAGCACCGACATATAACGTGCAAGAGAAGATACAAGAGATACATAAAGTGCAAGAGAAGAAACCCCTGTATTAAAGTGCATTTAGTGATGATTGCACGTCTGTTTGTTTCTCAACCATTCTTTGAGTTGACCTTTCAAACTATTGAGAGTGGGACAATCCCGTATCTCAGTTGGGAGGCTATTCCACAAAGAGCTGCCTTTAACGGAGAGGACATTTTGTCCAAAAGTGGTCCGTCTACGGTGGACCTCACAGTCTCCTCTGGTTTCTGACCTAGTGCAGCGTCCAGTGTGTTTTTTGTGGATGAATTCCCCTAAGGGGGATTTAATCATGGATAACCTTCATTTATTATAAGAAAAGAAAGAGGGTAAATGCAGAGAATCAGGATTGTGTCACACCAGGAAATGTTGGCTTGTACCCGACCCATAAAGCATTACCTTATTGTGATTTTTAACCATTTCTAAAGCCGTGAGATACAACAAATGAACCCTTTTATAGAAGCTGTCAGAAGCTGGCACTCAGGTTGTTTTTGTGAGGAATGAATGGCTTGTTGTTGATGTATGGAGGTGCTACACATGACACAGTGGTGTTGAATGACAAAACATGACAGTACACACTCATGAAATTGTTTAGGCAAGCTGACGTTGAAGAATAGTTTACACTTTGTCCTTACGGCTTTCAATCGTAATGAAATGTTTTTGATATTTCTCAACAGGCACAGATCCACATGAGAGATTAAAGGAGGAAGGGGGTTCCACATCCACGTCAACATACAGGACCACGTGACCGCACATCAACAGCTGGGACAACTCAACAACATCGATGTGGAAAATGGCTGTGATAGAGCATTATTTGAATCATTTCAATCTACTTTTTTAGACCTGACTTCTCCCTTTTTTAAGCTGTTTTAAATTGTTTAAACTGCAAAGAGATAGAAATTAAAGCACCAATGACTAGAAAGAAGACTAGTATGTTTTATTCATGTATTTTAAGGGATTCATATTAACATAAGTTCATGATGGTCTCGGCAGGCAAAGGTCAGATGAGGTAAAGATGAGCTTTAATTCTTTAAAGCATCCCACAGGAGCTGCTGGTGATTTCTGCTTTCATTACAAAAGCCTTGGCAGAGTGTAGGGGGGGGGTAGGATCCAACTATACGCTGTAATTACTCTGATGGTAATTAAAGTCTCCCTATAATTGTCGCAGCTTGTGGGATGTTCATTAATTTCAATGGGAAAGTGGACCATACAGTATAGTAAACAGTTGTTGTCCTTATTTAAGTCTGGCAGTCCAGATGTAGCCCTGTTGTTGTGTAAACACACACCTCTTATATAACTGTCGGGGTTGTATTGAGAGTGCCTGTCTTGAACATAACTGTGATTTATCCACTTTGCTGCAGCATTGCATTTCAATTATATATCCCATAATATTGTCCTGCAGGCCTTGGACATTATTTAAAGCATTCAATGCAGAAAGAGAAATAAGATGTTGGAAGCTACTCAATATAAACTCATTTAAAAAGTCTTAAATTTGTTTGTCATCTTACTTAGAAGAAACCTTAAGACAATAGTCTGAAGCTGTACATCATATCATTCTGTTATGACATTTGCAATAACAATACTTCCTCAAAAATATCCCTTTTTATATATATTCCACTAAAATATAAAGGTGACTCAAAGGCATCATACTTCAATGTTTGCAATGCACAAAAAAAGGCACTAAAATCAAGTGCCGTCCTGCTCCCAACAACAGAGTTATATAGAGGTCAGTCCTGGTGCAGATGAAGGTCTTTTCAAAATAGCATGGTATATTTCTGTGGATCGATAAACCCCAGTATTATCCCAGAGGTCGGATAAAGGAGCGCGATTGAAACTCATAACGTCGGCACTGCAGGAGTATTACTAGTAATGTTTGGTGCCAAAGATAAAGCAGCACGGTGATTATTCCATATTACAAAAAGGGACAGGTGGATGTATGTGAGGAGACACTGCCTGGTCTCTGAGTCGAGTAAATATAGCCGTGAATGTAGAGCTGAGGAATGTGACCAGGATAGCACAGAGGCTGTAGTCCAGCACACAGAAGCTGCTGCTGGAGACTTTCATTTGGTGTATGGATCAATAATCTTTGATAAACCAGCCATTCAATCCTATATAGTGTCACTTCACCTGATCAGCCCTATTTCACTGATACCACACTTTTCACACTTCTCATTAAAGCCAACAGTCTTAAGATGAGTCTATTACCACCTTCCAAATCTCTGAGTCTGTACTGAAAGGGATAATATCAGCTCCCTGCTTTTGGTGCAGACTAAAGATTAATTTTAAGACATTACCTACGTGCTTAATGTGGAAATATTATAAGTGATGGACTTAAAATTAAGCTACCCAGAGAAGAACTCGTTAAAGAGTTATAATGGAGGAGTGCACAATGGGTTCAATCATCTGTTCATTTTGCATTCCTGAATACCTGTGTTCCCTCTTGCATTTCAATTAGCTGCTTCTGATTCATACATTTTGATTCATGTGACCTGATGATTGTGTGTCGGAGGGATACAAATAGTTTTCATTTCTCTATTGTGCCCTATCTAATGGATGTAGCTCGTCATTTAAGTCTCAAATGACTCTATTAGGAAGATAAGAGTATGAATAGAAAATATCCATCTTAAATGGCAATGAGAAAAATATGAACTTGCCAGTCAGATAACAATTTAGCTAAATGAAAGCAAAGTAAAAGTGGAAATCCAGAGAGAATCCCATTACTTATTATTTATTATTGTTTTTTTTATCGTCATCTTACAAAATAACCACGAGAAAATCCGATGTTGCTCCCAAATCTAATGAAGGGAATGACTAAATAATTTTAAAAATGAATTCAACATTTTTGTATTTAAGCAGTATACGGAAAGCAGCAGAAAGACTGAGGTGAGCACTCTTTAAGTAATATTCTTATTGTAATACTAAACGCGTTATTGCATATAATCCTTATATCATGCAGTATTATTTGTCCCCTCACTGTCAAAATAGTAGTACTCTAAAGGATTTCTACTTAGTTGTTCTCTTGATTATGTCCCATCTTTGTCACTCTACTTCTATATGTCCTGTATCTTCTTTCATTGCTTTTCACTATCATCAACAAAAAGAGACGCATAAAGGGATGTAACGTGTTTCCCTGATGCTGTATGAGATCTGGCCGAGGCATACAGTACATCATGTGCTCCACCGTGTATGTGTCGCCTCGGGGTTTGTTCGTATGCGCGGAGGCTTTCAAGATTTTTCAATTCAGCGCTCAAGACTTCGCTTTTTTCTGCTCAGGGGGTATTTCGTTCTTTGATTTTTACAGTGAATCAACACAGTCAAACATGTTTGGAAAGGACAGTGACACATTGAGTGCTAAAACTAGAAGATTAATGAATTACAATTATTCATTAGGGAGGGAAATGGAGAAGCTACCAGGCAGCAAAGGAAAGTAACATCTACACTTTAAAGTTAAAAAACCAAGACAACAGATATTATTTGTATATTTTATTCCTTCATGAAAAAGACCTTTTTATATATATTTTTTTCAGGGTTTGTTTTCCCAGTGTTGTGCATTTTCACAGTTTTAAATATTTGCCAGAACTGACCCATTTTCAAGTATTGGTGTAAAAGTCAAAGCTGAACAAGAGAACGAAAACTGCTTTAACTACGTCAGAGCTGTATTTCCAGAAGACAAACATACATAGTCGCTCGTATTATCACATGTGCTACATCGAGGTTGTATTCAAACCATGGGACTGTGTTGATTTTATTTTGGAAGTAAGGAAAATGGCAAAATAAACTTTTGCTTGAGATGAGATGAAACCAAAAGTCAAAGGCAGGAAATAAAGGCAGGTGGTCCTATGTGTGAACCTGGGATGTTTTATTGGTTTGAATGAAGGGATGATGAGGATGAACTGATGTCTCGTAGGAGTTCATTAACTTCTTAAAGTTTTTGAAACAAAGGTAGCAGCCATCAGAAGAACTGTAATGGTGTGCTTTCAGGAGAGGAGGCTTTCATCTCCTAGCTTGGCACAGCCCTCCAAGCAGAAATAGCAAAAATATTGTCCACATCGCTACATTTGTGATGTTTCCCTGGAAATACAAATATGCCCAATCATTTTCATTAACAACTGAAAACAGGACTGCAATTAAGTGCCACAAGGTTTTAAAGTTCACGATGTCCTAATGCATAGTTTTGGCTTTGTCCAATTTTGGCACCTTTTGCCTTCCATACGCAAACAAACAATATGTTATTCTGTGGCTTAGTAAAGGAAGCACGTAAAGCAAGTTCTTCTGTTGTGTTTACACAAAATACACATTATAAATACATATTCACACACACAAACAGAAGACAATTAGAACCCTTATCCTACAATATGACATGAAATGCTGTTGATAGTTGACAGGCACCCACTCAATGACCTCAGTTCCTCCATTGTTCTTACTCCTACAAGACACAAAAGATACATGTATCACTTCCTGTTTATTGGTTAAACAGGCGTGTTTGTGCATATGGCTTTGCAGCATGTGTTCAGACGGTCCACGTGCAGGGCTGATAAATGAGTTCTCACTGCCAATGTGACACTGCTGTGACAATCAGATACCACGCCAGGCCTACTCCTTTTTCGCCTCAGGGTGTGTGTGTGTGTGTGTGTGTGTGTGTGTGTGTGTGTGTGTGTGTGTGTGTGTGTGTGTGTGTGTGTGTGTGTGTGTGTGTGTGTGTGTGTGTGTGTGTGTGTGTGTGTGTGTGTGTGTGTGTGTGTGTGTGTGTGTGTGTGTGTGTGTGTGCGTGTGTGTGTGTCTGAGAGAGAGGGGGCAAGCTCTGTCCCTGTTTTATGACAAGGACGTAACCTTTCCTGCGTTTGAGAGAGCCAAAGAGAGAAAGCATCATGACTTATAAGCAGAAGCACACTAGAAACTCCTCATCCTGCCTAAATCCCTCAAATAGGATTTAACAGACACGCTCACATGAATACACACACATATGCTTGTTGTGAGCGTGAGACACACTGTGTGTTTACATTTCATAACATGTAGTCCAGTTAGAGTGCTGTCCACTGTCTCCATAGGTCATTTCGAGGCTGCTACGTTGATACCACTGGACACAGCTTTCCCTGCTGCCTTCAAAACAAAACCACAAATTGAAATATCTTGTGGTTGACATCCATGTTGCTCTTGGTAAATGTCAGAGTTATTTTAAGCTGGCTAAATGGATTTAATTTGATGTCACCATCATATTAAAATCCATCCCTGCTACTGTGTCTGTAGTACACTTTGAGTGCGACTTTCACACAAACACTTGGACCCTGACCTTTGCTATATGACCTCACTTACATTTCACCCATGACTTTAGCTAGCCTTTGCATTGCATGGCACGACTCGGCACAGTTCAGTCCATCTAGGGCATGGAAGTGTGTCACGGCAGATCTAATTATGACAGCAGCACCCCCCAAAAGTTCTCGTCTCCCTTCAGCACAGTGCCCTGCGACCCAGCCTGAAGCAGAGGCTATCGTGGTTACACATGAGAGCGAGCAGGAGTGTCTATATGCGGCCTTGTGAGGGCTTAGCTATAAGTGAACAAAGCAGTTTAGCTGGTGGCATGAAATGGACGTAATGAATTGATGTTTGAGCTCTGATGCAGCTAAATATTGCTACATTAATCCATATGGTGCTCTGCAGAGGGTTAAGCTAATTCTCCATATAATGTAATTTTTTTGTACTACAGTTGTATTTGTTCTATTTTATTCACGGTTATAAAAACAGTTAAACATTTTACTCGCTTTGTTGTTGAGGGCTAGAAAGGAAGATTGGTATCACTTTTGTATCTGCATGCTGGATATCAACCCAGTCTCACGGCATTTTGTGTAATAGTCACGAAATACATTTAATCTATTGATTCGTGTTCACCAACACGATTTTCCAATTTTTTTTCGTGTCACACAACGATTTTAAAAGCAATGTATTTCTATTGATAGTAGGCCTATGTGTCGTGCCTGCAACACGTCTTTTTGTCCGGTCGGGTCTTAGAAGACCAGAAGCTGTGTGGTTCATAAAAACATTTTCTTACTCAATATCAAGCCACGATTATTGTTTTTATTTTAAATTGTATAATGTCTGACTTTTTTTGCCGTCCGCGAGGAAAATAAATGGGGCTCAGAGCCTCAGAATACTGAAATCTGTATTTTTTAAATCTTTTTTTCCTTCTAATTTGTTATTATTTGGTGCAGACACGAAACATACTACCAATAGAAATACATTGCTTCTAAAATCGGTCTGTGTCAGAATACTGAAATCTATACTTTCCTTCTAATTTGTTATTATTTACATTACTTTTAAAATCGTTCTGTGTGACACGAAAACAATGGGGAAATCGTGTTGGTGAACACGAATCAATAGATTACATGTTGTGACTATAACACGAAATGCTGCGACACTGGGTTGGATATACAACAAGAGGGCTAACTTAGCTAAACACTAAAAGAGTAAACACTCCCTGGCAAGCCACAATTTGTAATTTGTATACTTTGGTTTGTACGCATAAAACAAAAGAGATATTGTGCTGGTAATTTAGCTTTGGAAGTGCTAGTAGGTATATTGTGTTACCTTTTGACCGAGCCATGCTATTTCCCATCATGCTAAGCTAAGCTAACAGCTGGAAAGTTAGCATACAGACATGAGAGTTGTATTGATCTAATTCTTGCCATTAACAAAATAGCATGTTTTGCTAAATGTCGAACTATTCCTTTTAAGTTTTGGTAGAAATATCACGCAAATCAAAGAACTGAGTTAAATCTTAAAATGTTTCTGTTTTGTAATAATGAAATGGACAGAATATCCTTAAGAAATGCGGCTTGGATCAAGTTTGATGGATGGGTATTTTTGTACAGTTGACAGTCAGGAGACACTAATACACTGAAATAGCAGCAGCTTACTGATCTTTGTGAAAAACATGAACTGGTGAGACTTGCATGCTAATTATTTCTTTGGTTAGAGGCAAAACACAGGAAGTTGGTAAGCTTGCAAGATGTTTGCAACATTTTAAAGTAAAAACCTGGCCATTTACATAGCAAAGTTACAGAGCTCCCGAGCAGATTTTGTAACATCTTTGTTTGTTTCCTGCTGTCGCTATACTATGTTTACATAAATAACCTTTTTACTTATATTTTGACCTCCCTTGATGCAAAATTCAGCATTTTTCTCTGCTTTTAGGAGTTTCAGTTTGCAGATTAAGCCCTTTTTTCAAGATTAAAAGCTAAACAGACATTAAATAAATTAATATTGGTATTTAGCTGACCAGAGCTGTTTGTGTATTCATGTGTTTGCGTCTTACATTTGCTGGCAGGGACAAAAAAGGGAAACAAGCCCCACATATCAGCGGTGAGGGCTACAACTGGCAGGGCAGAGAAGTGGGTCATCTATATGCCATCCGAGCAGTCAGGAGGAAACTTGCATGCCTCCTGCTCTGCTTTTCAGCCTCAACAACGTTTGAGAGAAAGAAGGGGGTAGGGAAGGGGGGAGGAGGAACTCTTATATAGATGAAGATTACAGATGATTGAGGAACCAACATGAGAGACATGCTTAGTATTACGGAAATAAAGGGGGTGTTTAAAGGAAGGCAACAATACAAAAAAAAACTTAATTTGATTGTCGAGATTGACAACATGGCAGACATCCCGCTGTTTTAATTCTCAGTGTTTTAAGTCTCCAGTTGTTTTCCTTGTCTGTGGCTGCTAAATTATCACGGTATTGATTGTTTAATGTGTGCTTTGCTAACACTCTGTTACTCACTGTGGCTAGAGAGTAGGCCAGACCGGATGGATGAATCAAGAGAAGGAAAGGAAGTGAAAAAGAGGCCCTGAGATGGAGTGATAAAGAGAAAGGAAGAGTTGTGTCTGATGTTAAATGCTACAACGGCCTATAAAAAGAATAATGTTAATGAAGTGAGGTTAACTGAGGTGTGCTTTTGAGTACTTTTTGTTCAAGTTGCTATTGCACGTTACTGTGTTGAGTGCTATTGACGAGCGTTGGCTTTACTGGTGTTCTCTGTTCCAGTACAGAACAGCTCTTCCGTTGCATAATGCACTTGAAACACAACCAGTTAGCTGGGTTGTATAACTGTGTGTACCGTAATGCTGGTTGAACTCATGAGACAATACATTTGTCAGGCAAATGCAACTGAACATAAAATACTTGGAACTAGGATCTTCTTCTATGGTATTGTTCCTAAATCCACATATGCCAGCACCAACTGTCTGGTAGAGATGGGACAAAATACTGCATTGCACTTTGTTTAAGGCTAAAAAGTTTGCAGTAGAAAGCGATGTAAACTTAAGGCAGCATGGATTGAATGTCTCGCATGTTTTAAAAAAGAAAACTGAAAATCTACTATGTCACCAAATGCAACAATAAACAAAAATAAAATGCACTCTCTCCCAGTCTATAAATATAAACACAACTGGTATTCATACACAAGGTTTGTGCATGTCCATGTATGTATCATGTGCGCAGACATGGACATGTAAATACTTAACCCACACTCACAAACCTCATATCACAACATATAAAACTGAAATAAAAAACAAAGAAATCCTCTTGTTTTTCATTTTTGCACAGTTTCATTTAGCACAGTGCGATCCCGACCCAGTTTGAAGGTAGAATGGTTGCAGTTTGTTCGCTCCAGTTTCAAAAGCCCCCACCTCAGAGCAACAGCTGGTCTTTTTCACAGAGCTGGTTTTATTTGCCTTTTTTTCTCTCTCGTTCAGTCTTTTTTTAAACAAAGAGGCAAAAATGAGCGGAGGGGTTAAAGCAGTGAGAGCTGGTGACGAGCAGGAACAAAAGAAAAATAAGAGATGATACTGTTAAGGTATCCAAGGCCAGTCTGGTCAGTGAAACAGGTCAGTATTTGGGTGGGATGACCACCACGGGGTTACCATTCTTTGGCCGCCACATCAGCACCTGGGCGTCGTTGGCGTTGGGCTTGACCATGGCGTTGGAGAGGATGGGCTCATTCTTGCCCAGGATTTGAGGCTGTTCCTGGGTCACGGGCTCGTTCAGAGCAGCCCTGTGACCCAGAGGCTTCTCCGGGTCCACTCGGATGTGAAGCCGCATCCTCCAGCGGATTGTCTGCAGGACGAGGGTCTCTGAGGTGGCCTGGTTAATGGCCACAAGCCAGGTGGTGAAGCTCTGGTCGCGGCGGATGCTGGTGAGCTGAGGCACGTTGCTGTCGCTGACGGGCACACCCCAGGTCACGCTGGGGTAGAAATTGTCATTCATACTAACAGTGAACTTGATGGCGTTCTTGGTGGGGCCCACCACAGTGCAGGTCTCCGTGGTGTTGCCGTACCACGGGTAGTTCACCCCATCCGAGTCGCTGATAGCCTGGATTTTGCCATCTCGCAGGTCGGGGAGCTCCCAACTTGACCTGGGAATTTAAAAGGAAACATAGATGAGGATTTACTAAGAAATAGAGCACATAAGTGGCTGTTGATAATATAGGATCATTGCCGTTTATTATGATTAACTAAAGTCAAATGAGCAGACAGCCCCAATCAAGTTCGTTTTAATTCAAGCTACCAATTTTGGAGATAAAACTGGAAGTGAGCTTATGTAAAATTCAATAACGCCTCAATAACAAGGCGTGGATGCATGCATGTGTACAGTAAGCCAAAGTTGAACTAGGAAGTTGTCTGTAAACTGAGATGGATGGCAGTTTGGGTAAAAATGCTACTGTGTGCCTTTGTTTCCTCCTTCAAATATGTGTTTGAATGTTTCCTGACCCCTCTGACTACCTTTTAGAGATCATAATTTCTCTAACTGATCCAAAAACAACAGAATTATCCTTCAAGATGATCTCTTCATCTCTGGTGCACTTGGATTCCTTGTGTAAAAAGCTTTCCTTCCTGTATAAATAGCTGAGAATTTGCATCTTAACAGGCTGACAAGTCTTTCTCTTGATGTCACTGTCTATCCTACAACACATGATAGACACAATGAGATGATTCAAGGCCTCACAGTTGGATCTTTACGGCAATTTTTTAAACTGCAGAGATCAAATACAATCCAACAATAAAATACTGTGACACACAGAGCGGGCGACATAAACCTACATACACCTATGGATTTTCTGCCTGCAACAGGAGAAAGATGACCTTTCTTTCCCTGAAGCTGTAGATCAGCAGGACAGAGGAGATAAAAGTGTGATCACCAGACACATGACTTACTGCCTGCTTGGGCCAGCCTCAAATTCAGATTTATGTATTCATTTGAGATTGGTTGAGATTAGCATGTCAGGCATGATAATGGCTGGCTGTCTGTGTGTGTGTGTGTGGGTGTGTGTAACTGTGTCTGGGTTGTTGTGTCCTGAAAAATCACTTAATCCTTTAAATCTCCTCCAAATAATACTCAGACACAAATTAAATATGTTAGCTGTGGATATCTGCATCTCATTCTCAGTTGGAAACTTCTTCTATTTATTATTTATAGGACTGATGTAAATCTCTGTAAAGGAAAAACGGCCATAACATGCAATTTCCTGTGCATTTCACTCCATCACTGAACTGCCTTCATGCTGGTTTGTTTGAGTCACTGAGACCTCGTCCTGTGGTACGTTGTGTAGTTCTTTACCCGCTGAGGAACTGTGATCAAAAGTGGTGAAAGGCTTGTAGAGATATGTCTCACTTCCTGTTTGTGTCTTCACTGCCTGGTTTGTCACAGCCAAATAGTCCGCAATAAGTGTTGTGAGTGGTTGTGACAGAACCGCAGAGATGTTACAAAGCATTCACTCAACAAAATAAAACTAAACTGCCTCGCACAGTGACTTCTGAGCATGTCAGTTATTCCAAATTGTTGCATGCATTCTATCACAGTGATATCTCGTGGGGTATTTCTGCGGATACCCGAGGGTACTTGTAAAGATTTCAGATTACTGTGACATTAAACGCTCAGTGATCATAGGCCATGTACTCTACACATAAACAATGAAAGCTCTTTATCAAAGATATAACTGAACCAATTAGGGCTGCAAATAATGATTATTTCATTATTGATAAATCTGCCAATTATTACTTGGATTAATCTATTCATTGTTTGGTTTATAAAATGTCGGAAAAGAGAGCCAATTTTTTATATCCTTGTTTCTCAAAGTCGAAGATCATGTCTTGTGTTTTCAGTCCAAAACACAAAGGTGTTTAGTTAGATATGATATGAAACAGGAAACAGGTAATCCCCAAAGGTCAGATTCTCTAAACAGCATTTCTGCTTGAAATCTGAATATATGAATGTTTTTACTGATAATCAGATACATTGATAAGTCGACTAATATTTGCACCTGTAGAAGCCTATTAAGCCAAATATACCACTATAACAAAGATATTGATATATATAGATATATAGATAGTCACACTGAATACATCCAAAATATATCTGCTGTCTTGCAACATATAATGACAGTTTTTCTACACAACTCTACTGTATAGAAATGGATTGCACAGGCAGAAATTGGGAAGACTAGACTGGTGATCTGTAAAAGGTTTCAAAACGTTAGGTCTGAAATGTACAGACGGCATCATTGAGAAACCGTGTGTCAACTGAGCATTGCCCATATCCTGTTGCTGCTCATTTTTCGCAACATAACTTTGCATGTTGCCAATCAGAATACCAGAATACTATTGAGAGCACTTTATAGCAGATGGTGAAGTTTGGATCAATCTCTGTTGGAGTGGAAGTGAAGAAATAGGGTGCCAATTTCATTAACTAGTCAATTACTGTACAGCATGCCTCAGCACCTCGAGTGTCGTGTGTAGACTGAACCCTGCTCTGCCAAGAATGTTGGCAGGAAGCTCTGTCTCCAATGTTTACGTTCATGACTAGAGTTAACGTGCAATCTAAGAAGCACTATACCCGATGCAAGTAAACTTTACAACAGATAAATGTCCATTACTTTTTTAGTTTCACTTCTGCCACAGTTGCTATTTTTAGCACTTTTACATTTTTAAGGCAACACTAGACGCTGGGTGGAGCCACACATTGGGTGTGTGTGCCTGTCTGCCTGTTAATAAATACACACACACAACCATACAAAGCTGTACCACAGTTAAAGCACTCATTAAGACACCTACAACAAACGGGCGGAAGAGAGAGGGTGAATGTGTTCAGAATCCAAAGCCAACAGAGAAATTCTCCACATTACCGTCCTCAGCTGCTCGGTCCAATTAAAGTACGCTGAAGCTTTATTTCCATCAAAGACACTTAGTATGAGAGTCTCAGCGGTGAGAGCAGTATCATCTCCTGCATCCTAAATATGTCTTAAAAATTGATATAAAGAAGAAGTGGACTTTATACGGTTGTGAAATTAATTGACTTTAATATTGAAATGATGATTATATATGAAGTAAAACTATTTTAGATGCATGAGCTACAGTGGTAGAAGAAATGGTAACACTGTACAAAGAGGGGATTTGTGTGTGGGTGCATTCAAAGACCCCTATATATATAGTGCTATATATATACTGAATTTGTATCTCTTACATCCATGTTGGTTAGTTCCAGCTTGAGATCACTGATCTTCTTTGTCAGTGTGTTGCCTGTCCTTACAATATGCTGATATGATGTTTAAGATTGTTATCTTATAATTTTGTGTTTGCTTGCTGCAATTTGGACACAAATAATACACTGACTTTAAAGCTATGTTCTTAAGCGCACAGTATGTCTAATAGTGCCACTTAATCATTGATCTTTAATGACATTTAACCTACTGTGACCCAGTTCTATGCCAGTGATTGTCATTTTAGAATGAAAGTCATTTTCAATGGAGAGTTCAAAGCTATTTTGCATTCATTTTGTTGGTAGTTCAAACCTTTTCAGCGATCTTGAAGAATTAGAGAAAAGTAAGCCTAAGTAGAGCGCATGAACCCAGGCAATAAGTGGGCAATTTTAGTGTTTAGGGCTTTAAAGAAGGGGCTAATTTTCTTTTTCCTTTTGTGTTACAAAATTGGATATATCTGAATGCATCTATTTTCCTTTTATATGAACAGTACATCTGTAACAAAAAAATGACCTGACAAAAGAGCATGACGATTTAACTTAGCTAGATAAAAGAGTAGATTTTCACAATACAACAATGTTGCTTAGATGAACAATTACTGAAGCAATTACTGTTAGCAAAATGTGGTTTACAAAAGGCATTGATCATCCTGGCCTTTGAGTCCAAGTCCTTTTTTGACTGTCTATTTCTTTTTCTAACACTCTCACAAACACACACACACACACACATGCAGGGCCATATGGGTTGTTGGGGAGGGGACTCTAATCTTAGACGTACAGCACTCAAACATCCTTAGCTACAATTTCAACAGATAAAGCTAATTGTGAGTGCATGTCAGCTTGTGGTTGCCCACAACAGGATACAACAATGCTAACTAACATTACCACGCATATACACACATTAACAATGAGGGGGGGGGGGGGGGGGGGGGATATAGGAAGGAACAAATGAATAAAAGACAAGTGTTAACTGTCACACTGTGTCCTGATGAGCATGTTTTCTTTAAGCATAATTTGCTAATGTTTTACTAGATTAATTGACAAGGAGAAATCTGAAAGGTCATAGCAATCATTTTCAATCCCAATGTCCTGCTCTCCTGTCTGTCAGCTTTTTCAAGTACTTTGTAGCCTACAGGGGCCCAAATATACTGTATATAGTTGAGCTACTGAAATAAAGAATATTACACTGCACTTTACAGGTAGACAAGTGTCATTAAATGAGACTATTTTCATTTAAGAATCATTTTAGCATTATGTGTACAAAGAAATAAACTTCCAGTTCCAGAAATACTCTTACACTGACATTACACATAACTAACAAGGCTCTCTTTTGGGGAAGAACCATATTTGTCTGTACATTTGCCCACAGTGCTGAATATGCTTGAGTTTAGTTTAGTTTCCTGAAGTTCTGGTTAAAATATTTCTTCTTTAAACTTGAAATGTGTAGTTCTCTATTCTGGGTAAAAGCATTCCACAAAAAGAAAATGTAAATAAACTTCTTAACGAAAATACAACATAACTATTTACTTATGTTTACTTATCTGGTAGCCAAGTGATTTGTTTATTGAGTCTCAACCATAATGTGCTGAAGACATGCTCAGCTCAACCCCATAATAGTAACATAGTAAAAGAGCCCCTGATACTCACATCCCTTTGTTTCCATACGTATTGTAGAACTCCATGTGGTTACAGGCTTGGATCCAGCCGATGGTCCATGTCTCTTTACCGGCTACTGGCGGCACTAGGACCCGAGCAAGTGCTCGGAAGTGTGGTGTCCGGTAGCGCAGGACCACGCTGGATGACTCGTCGATGCTGGTGGGGTTGGGGTCGATGGAAGTGTTCACCTCCAGGACGGTGATACTGTCTCGGAAACTCTTGGGCTTACACCTGATACTCTGGATACAGCCCATTGCATTAAATAGCAACACAATCCACAACAACGTCCAGAGGTCTGGAGAAGAAGAAATACGCATGGAAACAGCAAGAAAATCACCACAGGTGGATCCACATCATGTTTTCCAAAAAGGTTTATCAGATTAAAAAGCGTTTATCTATAGCAGGCTGTCTCGTGAAAAAAAAGCCATGCATCTGTGCACATTTTTGATTCAAACCTTCTTTCAAAAAAGAAGAAGAAGACGGGCCTGGAACATCTTCATATTTGTAGAGCACATGCTTTCCGGTGCGTAAACGCAACTTCATCAAACAAGTGCAGAAACAGAAACTTTCCTTTATGCGTGCACAGATGTGTTCATGCTGTCTAGTTAAAAGTCATTGCTTCATAAGCGATTTTTCACAAAAGGACTTGACCTTTTGGCAACATGCATCCATTGGAAAGGTGCACGTAAAAGACTCGGGTAATTATGAGCTAAATAATTAACTAAAACTACTAATGTTACATCTTGGCGTCAGATTCTCTTTTGTGTAATCATTTTTGTAATTACACGATTATATTTGAGTGAATGCTATATGTCCAGAATTATAATAAAAATGATGCCCAAAGGTGAATTTCACATTATATGGAGCAGCTTTATCTCCATTTAATCCGCAAAAACATAATTCCTCACAATAAAAAGTGAAATTTAGAGCGTTATCCTGAACGTGTTTATACATGTGCGGATTAACGGCCCATGCAGTGCAATTGCATGAATTGTGGGGTTTTGCGGACAAAAAACAACATGCAAAAAGAAGTCTACCTATAAAACAATTGACTGGAAAGTCTCCAGTGTCATCAGCCTGGTGAAATCCTGGACAGCTTCAGGGTGATCGGCGGCTCACAGTTCTTCGGTCAGAGAGGTAATTCCGTTATCCCCTTCACAGCCGCTCCCGTTATTTCTCCCCTACAGCTGCAAATAACGTCCCCGTCCCGCCGGGAGAGAGGGATCATTTCCACAAGCGTTCAAATCTAGCCGAGTTTCAGCCGGAGCACCGCAACATCCAAAGGACAGCGCCGGGTCAACTTTAGCACCCGTTTCACAGAATCCATACCTAGATTTAAAAATAAATAAAACATAACGCCTCAGAACGAAGAACCTCCAGCTGTCACATAGTTCGACCGAGCCGGCAGTTCTGTCCTGTCCGTCCGCCTGCGCTGGGATGCGGTTCAGCCTAAATTCCTGCACAAGCTGTCATTTCTCCGTGCTCGTCCCATCGCTGCCACGGCAGGTTCACCCCGCTTCGCATTGGTCTATTTCAGCTGCCTTGAAAGCGGCTTTATAAGTACCATCCGACACTTCCTGTATGAGCTCCAGGCATGCTGGGAAATGTAGTCGCTGTGGACAATTTACAGTAGAGAAAGGTGAAACAGTTCGCCTCATATCACATTCAAGGCTGAGAGCCTCTGTGTGACGTTGAAGAATATTTTGTGTTACCCCTTTTCACACTGGCGTTTAAAATATACTAGTTATGTCCTTTCTACTGTAGTTATGTTGCTGCTGTTTATTGTTTTATAAAAATAAAAAAATGTAATTCCATTTTATATTATTATGTTTATACTTTTTAAAGATTGTAATGCCTGAACACACTGCTGCTACTGTTACTAAATACTTTCCCAATTTGGGATCAATAAAGTACATCTATCTATCTATCTATCTATCTATCCATTTATCTATCTATCTATCTATCTATCTATCTATCTATCTATCTATCTATCTATCTATCTATCTATCTATCTATCTATCTATCTATCTATCTATCTATCTATCTATCTATCTATCTATCTATCTGTCTATCTATCTATCTATCTATCTATCTATCTATCTATCTATCTATCTATCTATCTATCTATCTATCTATCTATCTATCTATCTATCTATCTATCTATCTCATCATTATTTATCTCATAATTATTATAGCCTAGAAGTAATAGCATTTTAATTGACTTGATACCATGAATAAATTACTTTAATTAATAATAACGTGTGCTTATTTATTTATTTTATTTTTGATTATATTTAATAACATTTGATATCCCATTGTAATTAATATTACAGTACAACATCGTGCCAATGACGTTTATTTTTATTTTATTTAAAAAGAGATGTCAGGGCATTTCAGGTTTGATATTGTTGTATAAAGTAATCAATAACTAATTTGGTGTATCATTTTACAATCATAGTTTTCATTATTGGGTGCTTTTGTTTCTATTCACTTATGTGACAAGTAATTTCATTGATTCATCGTCATCTATTGATTTATATTCTCCACGACACAACCACAACACAATGTTTATTTATTTATGTATGTATTTACTCAATGTATTTGCATTGGTGTATTGTTAAGCTCTTTGTCTCCATAAAGTTGACATCATGGCAGTGCTGCTGGCTGCCGCGGTCTGTTTAAGCACCTTGGAGAACTCCGCTCCACAGCAGAGCGCACTGCAGAGGTTGAATCGCGATTGTGCGTAAAATTACGTCAAATCCGCACGGAAGTACCAGATGCTGCACTGGCAGGACTGCCTCCCTGTCCTCACCCTTTGTTGATGATATTAGCTGACGGCAGTTTACTGTTTCAGGTCTAGCCTGCATCGTTTTAAACTAAACCCCACTCTCCTCGCTGCCAGGGCATGTTATGGCTCCAGGGCAGATTTAAAGTGACGCGTTTTGCTTCATATTCATCCTAAAATCGGTAAGATGTCAACACCGTTTCTTGCCTAGCCTTTTTCTTGCACAATGTTTACACTTATTATGTTGTTCTCGGTTGGCAGTAAAGCACCTGCTAGCTGTGTAATTGTGTTATTGTGCCATGCTTTGGCGTAACAAGATGCCCATGTTGTTATTTTATCTCCATGCTGTAGATCGGGTTTCACCGGATTGGCCGAGGCAAATGCCACTCTATGAACTCTTCCAGCGTGCATGACTCTCGGTATAAACAGCATGGCCATTGCACATTCCAGCTGGTCTAAATATATCTATTAAGGCCACAAGAGGGGGAGGACTGTTGAAAGGGGTTTATCCTGGGACGGTTCACTGTCGTGGTGGACTCGCACCACTTGAATCACCTTCCTGAGATTGACAATCGTTTTTTTAGCACCTGCAGAGGAGAACTTGGCCCTATTCAAACATGCCATCGAGTCACACTGTGAGAGCCAGGGCGAGGGAAAGAAACAGCGTCCTGAGCAGACCTGAGTTTCTGTCTCTAAACCAGCCCCTCCGCAGCGGCGGCGGGGCCGGAGGCGGCGGCGGGCCCCCTGAGAGCCGAGGGGGCGCGAGGAGACCCGGTCCGATCAAGCACCAAACAAGCCAGCCGAGTGAGGAACCGGTCGAGCCCACCAAGTTGCCCGAAGAAGACTGTATGCTGCTGAACCCCTCTTTCAAGGGAATCGCGAAGAACTCCCTCCTCGCCATAGACATCTGCCTGTCTAAGCGCATGGGGGTTTGCGCGTACACGTACTCGTCCTGTGGAGGCTGCCGCTCCATGGTGTCCCTGATGTCGTTCACAGGCCACGGCATCACGTGGATCATTGGCACTCTCCTGTGTCTCACGAGGAGTAACACTCTGGCAGGGCAGGAGGTCCTGGTCAACCTGCTGCTTGGTAAATGCCACACCACTACACTCACCAACCACAACAAATCAGTAGTATAATACCCAGAATGCACTGTGAGCAGGTCACTAATGCACTCTTGTTCTGCATGGGTGAAACTGTGCTGTCGAAGCTTTTAAAGAGAGACTTTGCACCCTGTAACTGTTAAATAGGTCAGCTGTGTAATTCTCTAGTTTATTGTAAATACAAAACATGCTTCCATAATGGCTTTATAAGTTGTAAGTTAAATTATTATTACACCTAGTATTAATACTTCAAATATTATGGGATGAGAAAGAAATGTTCACGACATGACAACCTCAAAATGTACTTATGGCTGACTTATTATAACTTTCTGACTTATATGATCTTTAAAGTATCAATAACTGATTGAATAACCATTATTAAACCATCATCAATACTATTTAAGGTATGGATTATTAGAAAGTATCAGATTGTGTTTTCAAACTCATACACTTTATGATACAAAATGTCCCTTTTTTAATCATTGTATTAAATATTGTTCTGATAGTTCTTCGGTAACAGATAATAAGAAAAGCAGACTTTGCAAGAAAAAGGAGGGAATGTTAAGATGTGTCACTTTCAATGACATGTTTTTATAATGAGTGACACCTGACCATTATGTAATGTGCCAATAGCATGCAATTTAATACAGCCATGCACAAAGTAATGACCCAAGATGACAAATATATGCAACAAATAGTATTGTTGGCGTCAGAAAGCAAGAATGTGACTGGAAGTTCATTTGTTTAATCTCCTGCACATGCAGAATACATTTTGGAAAAGTAAAAAGCCTCATTACCACTAAGGTAACCAACAGGTCAAAATGGAATGGGAATCTGTGTAAATGTGCTCAGGGTGTTCCTGAAATAGAAATAATTTCTCTTCGTAAACCCCTGAGTACACAAAGGTGAAAAACATATGTTGACCCTCTATGGGCGACCTAGTTTTAAATGACACAAAGAATACATTTTTGACCCTAAATAGGAGTGCACAGGTACACATGTGCACACAAATATGCATCATGGACCTTAACACAGATTATTGATTAAACAGAGCAGTACTAATCTCCTGGCTGTGGTTACATTGAGCTCGGAAGCCTAAATCTCTGGATTTAGGACAATGTTTTGTGTTTGGGACATTGTTCAGCCTCAAATTCCTGTTCATTATTTGTTGGTCCAGGATAATATCTAGTCTATTGTTGTCTGTCGGGAGAAAATGTACAGACATGCTGAACATTGGTTGGGGAAATGATTTTCAACACTTGGACAAATTCAGTTTTGTTTTCACCTAACAGGGAAGTACTGGCCTGTCAGTTTTGGTTTGATTCAGTTCATTGCCATGAGCAAATGAAATGTGCAGTGCAGAAATATATTTCCCATACAGTGTTTTGAAATGGCTTCTGGGAATTTCTGCAATACTACTGAGCATCTCAGGGACTCCCAAAGCAGACCTTGACTGTGCAGAGGATGTTCCATCCATATCGTCTGAGTTGCAGCCCTGCTTTGGTGTTTTCCGCTTTATTCTTTCGTATAACTTATTTACTCTGTCCCTACACAAATTCAAGTTTCCCTCAAGTCATGCACAAACCCTTTTTAACAGTAGTGCAAAAAGGAATAATTTAGGCAACTAGGTGAACAGATGTGATGGCGACAATATCAATAACATCACTCTCACCACGTGGCCAGATAAGATCAATGATGCAGTCTGGTGTACCCAATTCCTTGTGCTGTTTTTGAGGCCTGAATGGAAGAATACAGTATCAAACAGACATGACATCACACAGCTGTTGTCTTTAATTACATTGCCATCAAGCTTGATGGAGCAGATGGGTCAGTATTATATTTCTAGTGCCTGTAAACAGCTCTTGCAGCTTTCTAAGGTAAAAGGAAATTCAGCAATACCAAGATAATTGAAGCAATTCTAATCAAATGTGTATTCTAACGGTGAATCACATGACTACATGTGCTATAAAGAATATGCTTGAAGTAACCAACCCTCAGCTTTATAGTATCTTTTGACTTGTTCTGGTTCACTCTTACCCCCCTAACAGCTCTGTTCTTCAGCAAAAAAGCTCTAAAACCTACTGTGGGCTATCTGCCAAGCAATAAACGGCAAACAAATAAAGTTAATGACTAGCGCGTGTATACATGAGGAGCATTTAGCAGCTATAAATACAGATATTTTGCCCAGGAGTTGGTGGGTATACCAAAACAAAGCACAGAGTGTGCTTGATTCATAATCATCTCTAAATGAATGAAGTATAACATTGCTCCAAATCTGCTGGGTGTATAAATACAGAACTCTTTGCCGTATGAACTTCAAAAGATGTAATAGGTCAGTATTGTGTTTACAGCTTGTTTCTGCTTACCCGAAGTGACTTAAAAAGATATGTATTGCGGTTTAAAAAGACTGTTGTTGCAGATATTTTCCTATTAAATTCCAACCTTTGTATTGCCATATAAACAATACAGGTCTGCAGGAATTCAAATATTTGAAAAAAATTGAAATAAAAGATAGGAAATAACTGTCCCTGACATGGTAATTTCAAATAGGTTAAATCATCTTCAAAGAGCTGAATACAATTGTAAAGGTGTAATTGGATGAGCAGTAAAAAGTGGAATTTAGGAAGGGTCTAAGATGGGCCCTAATGTTGTGTTTTTGTATATGATGTGTTGGCCTAAAAGAGTCTATTTCAATCAGCCATAGACTCATCATTGCTGAAATTGG